CTTCAACCTTCATAGAATATCAAAAAAGAACCTGATCATCAAAGATGACAATTTTGACAGATAGCGCTGAACCTGACTTTGCACTTTGCGCTTTTCTGAAACTTGTATAAGCTGCTTGATAATATTGTGATGAGAAATATGTTGAAGAGATTCGTTTCATTCTGTAGATCTCTTTTAAGACCCGTTTACACTGGAGTGTTTTATCCGGATAAATTTTCATCCGGATAAAAATTTATGCGGATAGGCTCTCCGTCTACACGAGCGAATTTTATCCGTGTAGATATTTATCCGCTTTGCCGTACAAATATTTATCCTGCTACGAAAGCGAATAAATTTTTGTCCGGATAGAAAATTATCCGGCAAAGGGGAGTGTAAACAGTTTTATCCGGATAAATTTTTATACGCATACACAGTGAGGCTATTTTGTTTCATATTGAGACCATTTAAATATGATAACGAAACGGCGCAAGAGAAAAAATCGGCGCACTTTTGTTAATATTCCATGTCATTTTCGCTGTTTCCTGAACTATCATGGATGAAAGTTCACTTCAAACATCACACTATCTCTGTGTGCATTTTGAAGCTCTGTAGCTGCTGCAGCAAGGCTAAACGCTCTGCTAGCTGTTCTATCTGAGAGATCCTATAGAGTTAGCCAACGCAACTTGGAATCAATAGTTGACGATAGCAATTCACGGCTACAAAGAATAATCGTATTCTCAAAGCTTCAAGAAGAAATCGACGACCTCGCTGGTTCTGGGAAAGACCTTGGAGCAGCATGTGAAGTTCTTATCAGCCTTCTTGCTACTTCCTGTCGATGTATTCTCCGATTTCTTTGGCATTGTCGACTTTATGACAGAAATATGAACGTGTTCACTCTGACATCAATGAAAATTATTTTCGCGCGTTTTTAAATCAAGGGTTGTGCGCATGCCCAATTAAAAAACTCACCATTTAGTTTCACCGTGTAAACGGAGGGGCTAAACGAATAAAATTTTATCTGGTACAACGTAAACGGATAAAAATTTATCCGGATAAAAATTTATCCGGATAAAACACTCTAGTGTAAACGGGGTCTAAGATAGAATAGAATAATCCTAGAATAATCCTGAATAATCTCTCGGTAAGTCAATTCGCTTACATTTTTGCTTTTTCCCTTTCCAGTAAAAGTCTCTCTATTCAAAGCTTCCTTTAAGGTTACGGTAAACGTTTGCTGGATGAAAACATCATTTTTTCGATTTTTTCACATTCAAGTACCCAAACTTTCAAGGCACACAATGACACCAAATTTGAAACAAACAGAAATTTTGAAAGTGGAAAAAATCCCATGTAAACGAAGGTTTCCATAATTTCTTTATCAAAACTTTTAGTTGAGGCCTGAAAATCTCTTGACCTTTTAAGCCGATTATCGTTGATTGCGGTTGTAGTCGCATGTCTCATTTACAATATCGCATGGCACATCCATATACCCAATGTACGGCCGTGTTTATTTAAACAGGCTTATTGATCTTAAATCTTCAAGTGACTTGACCCGGATTACACTGTGGTTTACGAGTGTATCTTGCAAGTGCGATCAGTAAAATCCCGTTTTCTCCGGACTTGAAATTCCTCTACATGCAGGTACGAAAAAGCTATTATGTACCCAGGGAACCAATCGAATGGCTCGAAAATTTGCACACGGCCAGGGCAGACGTTGGGCAAACAAAGTGTGTCTCAAAATTTTTTTATTTTCTCTGGTCCGTCTTTTATACCCAAAAACAGCCGCGGGAGGGTGGAACAATTATTTGCCAATTTTTGACAGGGTATAGTTTCAAGAAGAAGAGGAATTTAAAAAATCTGAGACACACTTTGGTAACTTAGGACCTGCACTTCCTGCTGGTCTAAGTCAGATTTTGTTACCTCAAACGCAGGGGTACATAATAGCTTTTGAAGGTGGTACACTTTTTGACCAGTAAATTCGCATGGAAAATAACATTTAACATTATTTGCCAATAATGTTTATCTGGCTAGATACGCCATAACCTTGTGCATCGAATGATACATAGTTTATCTAGATTCCTTGAGCCGTTTGGCCTTTAGGAAGAAAAAACCAATTTTCGTGTTCAAAACGTTTACCGTAACCTTAAACAGAAAAAATGAAGATATATTCTGGTCTTCTTTAAAGTATTTCGCTTTTTGGGTTGCAGTATCTAAACTTTTTTACATTGCATTCGCTTAGATGCTAAATATCCTTTTTTATCTCCTTTCACTTAACTATTGTCTTTTCACAATTTATGATTATTATAGAGTCACGACTTCTATTTAAAACTGAGTTCTTTTTGCAATCATTAAACAGTGTTATACCTATCTAACAGGAAAAGGAAAATGGGATTTTGAAAACATTTTGTCCCGATCATTTGAAGGTAATCTTTCTTTTGATTTATTTTGCAAAAACAAACCTCTTAGTTTCATCATGTAGACAGAGCCAATAAAGGTACATTAAACTTGTTCCTTGATCCTAGCGTGTTCCTCAAAGAATTACTAGTTGGTTTCCCTTTTTTGCCATTAATGCATGTTCCGTTCACTTGGTGGAAAATCTATGTTATCATTGTCTGATTAGAACATATTTGTACCTTTAATACAGTCTGAACGAACACCTTTTCCTTTTGAAGTTTTGAAGTTTTTATGACCAGGTCAAAATGATCTGATTCATACGATAGGAACAAAGTGCCTGGCACGCCAACATAACATGCCTGGTCTATAATTACAATGGCACAGGTATGTCTGCTTTGTTTTAAAGTCACACAATAAACTGCTGAGATATCCGAATATTTGTGCTGCATATACTGTTAATAAACTCTAATCGACTACAGAATAGTAATAGCATTTTATTCATTTCATTATATGTAGGTCAGAATTGTGAGGAGACTCTGGGTCATCAACTACTAGTCTCGTACTTTTCCCTAAGAAACTATAAAAGATTCCAACAATAAAGATATAGGAACCTAGTGTGATAGAATTTTTGCTTCTTTTGGAAAATATGTCAATAAGAAGTACTGTAATTTCAAGTTATAATTCAGCCATGTTTTTCGGCATTTAGAAATTCTGGCAAGTTACAACGATGAAGACATCTATCTTTTTGATTCAACAATGAGGTGAGACATCGAAACAGTTATTTAAGTTGATTTCGAAGTTTAGGAAAGATTTTCATTGGGTACCTCTTTGAAGGGGCTGGGTCACATTTAAGGCCGCTGGACAATGTTGTTGTGTTGATGCTTGTGGATTGGATGAATCCATCACAGCAGAAACAACAATTGATCGGACAGAAAATTGCAGCCCATCGAGAAGGTTTTAGCGTTTTTTGTTACTAAAAAATTATTTTGATTGATTTCAAACGTATATTTCGACATCAATTCATTGATCAGTCCAGGAAAAAGAAGCCGTATTTAAAGCAGCATGAACACAATAAGTGGCCGAAGAAGTGACCGAAAGGATAGCACAGAGACATCTGTCTGAGGAAGCCCAGGTTCATGAAAAGTAAACAATGCTGAAAGCGATGGTTTTAGAATGATTTAGACTTGGCAGCATTGCTGCAAGCATCACGATTTTACGGTCTGCCATTTTGTCAGATACTCAACTTTGACGAACAACTTTGGTAAACAAAACCCTCTTGCACGCAGATTGTCCCGCACAATATGTTCGTTTACGGTTACGTGACCCAGCTTCTTTAATTGTATCTAAAGAAATGAGGTGAGACTGTTTCAGCCATCTTTTCCGGAAAAGTTAGTCTTTTTTCTTACTATGCCGTTGTCTATGTGTACAGATTAATCTGAAAGAAAATGAGACTTTGGTTAACAACTAGGAGAAACTGTCGTTCTTTCAATTTCTGTTTGCTTTTCAAGAGCACTGTCATGCTATTTTGCCCCGCAGTACCACCCGCAGTACCACACGTCTAAGTACCTCGTAGTACCACCCGCAGTACCACCCGCAGTACCACCCGCAGTACCACACGTCTACAGTAAGTATCTGTGTACATCAAAAATAGTTCGAAGGGAATTGAACAGACTTCCCTTAGCAAATGGGCACCTCCAACTTGTATTTTAGAAAGAAAAACAGAGTTATGGTCTTTTGGATTGAATACTTAATGTGTTTTTTCTTCTGTGTTATAAAAGGAGTTCTTCGGGTAATAAATTTCTTATTTTTAGTCACAATTATGTAGACATTTTTATCCAAGTAAGCATTGAATGCATGCTCACTCTTGTCCCAGTGATGGAGCAAATTATATTCATCGTTACAAGGGACATCGCAACTCTGCAACAGGTAATCTATGACTTAGTCAATTCATTTATTTATAACTGGCTATCGAATCTTCGTTTCAAAAGAAAAGATCCAATCACCTAAATTTGATTGTCCTTACCCAGAAGAAAACCATGTAATCTCAACTTTCGGTACGGCATAGTTGTGCAGCATGTTATTACCTATAATGCTAATGGCTTTTCCGTGCTGAATAAGTGCGCTCAGTGGATTTGTAGTTGTCTTGTTCAGGTACATCTGATGCCTTCGTTTCTAAGTTATCTGTTATCAACATGTGCAGTAGAAAAATTAGCCTGCTTCAACCCAGTTTCGCGTTTACACTATATCATCTCAGAACACACCTGGGCTGAACCTTGGTTTAACCCACCTCGGTATCTGGGTTGCATGTACCCAGATTCAACCTAGGTAACTTTCCTTTACACTACAAAAAATCTTACCTGGATTCACTCTACCCAGGTTCAACCCAGGTTCATCGCAGGTTCAACCCAGGTTCCACCTATGTTGTATAGTGTAAACAATGCTTAACAATCCAGTCCTTTTTTGTGAAGATTCATTTATTTAAAAAAAATCCTGCATAAAATGTGTAATCTTCAAAATCTCATTTTCAGTTAAAGGGGTGAACTTCTTTGGCCCGAAAAGCGAATTTATAGTCAGTGGCAGTGACTGTGGTCATGTTTTCCTGTGGGACAAAAGCACTCAAGACATTGTGCAATTTCTTGAGGGAGATGAAGCTGGAGTGGTAAGCTTGTGACATATTTTGCTGAAGTAAACTTTTTCCGTGTAATTTTTTTACAGATCGATATCAGGTGTGTATTGTTTTCGGTTATCGATACCGTAGTTTTTTGAGATGCCCTTTCTCATATAAGCTATTCGTTAAAAAGCCTACTTTATCAATTGAATTCATTCACCTTGCCCAGTCCTAGCATCTTGCTATTAAAATGCAATTCTATGATTTGATTATCTATCCTGTAGAATGTTTTTTCGTGCTAACTTCTATAGCAAGGTATTTTGGAACGCTTTAAGAAATATGACATAAAAATGGAAAACACTTCATTCCGACGAGGAAGGTAAATAAGCAACAGAAAATATTGAAACGGACTTAGCCATTTTGCTTTGCCAGTGTCTGGTAATTTTTGGGTAAGAAAATTTCAAGCCTACCCAGCATGCCAAACAACCACACGACAGGAAAGCCCTGTTCTTAGCTCTTCACAGGTTAAACTTGTTCAACTATTCGCAGGTTAATGTTCTTGAGCCACATCCTACCAGCTGTATCTTAGCAACGAGTGGCCTTGACCATGATGTCAAAGTATGGGCTCCAACTGGCAAGGCAACTGATCTCGATGGCCTAGGAAAGGTATTTGCTCTTGTCTATTGAAACTTTTTCTCAAATTGACATAACTTTTTTCAAAGTCTAGAGACGCAAATATAATTCATGATTTCAGCTAAATGTGGTCTTTCTGTATTTTAGCAAGTGAAAGAGAATGACGACGAGAGACATTCTGAGGCCACCAGATCCGCCAGTCCATTTGATGAAAGATTGCTGTTCATGATGTTCAGACGGTTTCGAAGACGACAGGTATGTCATTTCTCCTATCAACGCAGTGAGAGTGAATCAGTCTCAAAGGTAGAGGTACAAAACTCGTCTTTTAGTTAGACAGTGTATTTATTTACATCTTGGAAATTCAGCCAATCAAAGGACGCAATTCGGAATTTCCGTTGTGTTGCTAATATTGCGTGTGGCTATTTCTACTATGATTGTATTTGAAAAGGGATAACCAACAACAGCATGTGATCACACAGTATTTAAAATAGTGGAATAAGGTGACACTGCTTGTTTCACGACGCAACAGTGGTACTGGCAATCAGTGATACTTCATTTCGTGTTTTTGATTAGAAATTGTATCATCGTGTACAGTGAAAGACTGCCAGGTTATTTGACTTGTTCTTTCAGATTTTTTTGATAAGTGGATAAATGCAACATTAGAGTTGCCTAATTTTTCTAATGGATCGATCACTCTTCATAAATTTGTAATTTTCCCTTTGTATCTCATTTCACGGATTCCAAAATCTTTTGTATTTTCTTCACAGATTCGTGCACACGAGCGGAGACAAGCTAGAGAAAGACTCGACGGTGAGGAGGCGCAAAGTGAAAGTAGCGAAGATGATGATGATGATGACGATGATGAAGACGAGGATGACCTAAGTGAAAGTGACACTGACTCTGAGGAGGAGCCTGCCACAGTGCAATGCGCACCTTCGTGAGCTGCTTGCTGACTTGTATTGGGATGTAGCATAGTTATCATTATAGATCCTCAAAAGATCGCATTAGCAATTGGTAGAACACGGTGCTTGCCTCAGCGCGGCACTGCCTTTCGGGAAATTTGGTACTGAGATTACGCTAAGCTTTTACTAAGCTGCATTGAGATATTAAGCTTGAATGCAAAATCTTTAAATCATTTCGCAAGATGTACCTCTGAAATTAAAAGTTAATGTCACTTTCACGCTATAACTTCCTGATTATTGCCCGGTATGATTTCAATTAAAAGTTTATAGTAAATCGGTTTGATCAGCGTTGTCACTTTTTATAGAATGCCTAACTGTAGGAGTTGAAAAAACGTAATTGAAAAAAACGTAAGTTCAGAAAGGCTATTTTGCTGCACCATTCTGCATGAATCCAGGAGCGCGGGCTGTGGAACGCAAGAGTTACTGTAGGCTGTTGTAAGTATATTTAGAAATCTTGCAGTTGCTTGGACAAAAATGTGATTAGTCGCTGTGTAGAGTTGTATTGCAATAAATTGTTTATTTGGTTTCACTTGAGTCATCAGTGGAATTATTTCTGAATATAATTAGTGTGTATTCAAAGTAAACAGATACAGATTGATGATGCCTTCATTATTAGTGAAAGACAAGGCCTATGGCCTACACAGTACTATGTAAGATATGTGGCCAAACAGCTTTCTAGCGGTCCAATGTTTTACGAAATTTCATCATCATACTTGAGTGCTCTTCGAAGTGGTAATCCCAAGTGAACACCAGAATCTATACCGAATTGTCAGTCGAAAATATACAATTTAAATGTTTGAAAAACTTGTCAATTATTGCACTTCCAGCCATAAATCCTATGTTTTTACCCTGATTTGGATGTGATGACGATTTAGAGCGTTCCCGTAGCCCTTCAAATTTTAAACAAAGCTCCAAATAATAATAAAATGTAATTAACAAGACTCTACGGATCTATAAACCAAACCAAACAAATTTTAAACTTTGGCATTCCAATTCCAAACTGTCATTTTTTCCAAGTTCATACTAGATTCCTTTTTAACAAAGCCCTATCATGATTATGGTTTCGATAGCTTCATGATGTTTCTATCATGGATTTGTTATGATCACACGAATAGAATAATTTACTTGTCTGATTTGTAAACGCGCATCATCTTTTGTTTTGCAAGAAGTTTCCAGATGAATCCACTGTCCCTTCTTAGCAAAGACTTAATTCCCTTCCATAAATGAATTTATTTGGCATAGGCCATCACTGATTGATATTTCAAACCACTATAAAACTGTTCCCCAACACGTCTTTTTAGCGCAACTGTGTCATATCCAAATCCAACATTTATCAAGACTTTATTCAACAATCATAGAAAAGACTACAAATCAAATTTGGTCCCAATAAACGAATTTGCAAAGGAAACGACAACAAAATATTTAAGAACACAGTATTAAAATACAGTTCCGTGAAGATCGCATTAAGCATGAAACTCAGAGTTCCCAAATCTATGTATGAGTGAAATAATTTTCCACTGAAAATCACCTTTTTTCCAAAGCCTGTAGCCTTAGATATTAACAAAAGCTTCAAATTACTGTTGTCATGAAAAAGTCAACATCTTTGGCCGAAAGAGCGTTGTATATAAACAAAAGTCGTCAAAAATTTTTCAGCTGAACAATTTTTTATTCAGAGTTAGCATTTTTACACAGCCTATAGCCTTGACCATTGAAAATGTTTAAAATCAGCTTTGTTCTAATACTTAATGACTACAAAAGGCCATTTAATAGACTTCGTAAACGAAAAACTTTCATCATTCCATGTTCTTTGCAAAATAAATTTTCCAAACCAACATTTTACCAAATCATCGCCGTTTTTAAACGAAAAAGCCAACAAAGAAAAGACGTCTTGTAAAAAAAAGCCAATATCTCTTACCAAAACAACCACAAAAGGTCATAAGATTCGCCAATCCATGCTTATAGCAAAATAATTGTCTACTGAAAATCCACATTTTTATCAAACTAACTGCCTTGAATCGTAAGAAAAGTTTTAAAAGGGGGTTTTGGCTGAATTAGATTCATATCTTACCGACACGAAATAACCTTCCTCTTTTTGACCGAAACAATTGTTTATTGAAAATCAGCAAAACCGTAACAGATTTTACCATAACAATGTCATTTCTGACCAAATGGACCACTATTTCAAATAAAATTACATTGCAGATGAAAAATATTCATCAATGCATAATTTGTGCAAAATATTTTTTCAATTAAAAATCAGCACTTCTACCAAGCCTTTAGACTTGGGTATAAAGAAAAGTTTCAAACAAGGTTTTGTCCTGATAAAGTCAAAAATCTTCCATAAACGACAACCAAAAGTTTTCAAAAAAGGAATGATATTCACAATAATCAATAGCGTGCTGATTCCACAAAATAATTTTCTATAGAAAATCAACATTTTACCAAGTGCATAACCATTGATATTGAGAAAAATTGCAGTTGACGTTTGGTCATAATAAAGCGAGAGTATTTTGAAAATGCCAGAAACGACCAGAAATATCCACAGTTGCATATACATAGCATAGCATGTAATTCATTTATTGTAAGATTTTGATCATTAAGAGACATAATTGTGGCATGACTTCTAGCGACTTTGGACTGAATTCTTGACAAAAACATCTGTTTTTAAGTATACAATACAATAAATATCATGCATGTTCAGAGAAAAGCGATTTTGCGCACTTTGCACATATACATCCTAGGTTGCAGTGCGCATGCTTGCTTTTGCTTTCTAGGCCATCTGAGAAGCGTTCGAAATGTTGAGATGATCTTTTGATGAAATATATATATCTTACTAATAGATTCATAGCCATTCTGCATCACCTACCGAAAGAAGAAATGTAGATGCCGCCATTTTTACTTCATTTTTAAAGCAAAGAATCAGGGATAGCGAGGTTTATGGAAGAGCCACAAAAACATCTAAATATTTTTATACCGAAAACATCTCCACATACCCTCTAAACAATATCACGATATATTTGAAAAACAATACTAGGTATTAAAATTTTTACATAAATGAATTGCAGTTTATATTTCTTTGTTAATTTCAAACAAACATGCATTGCTATTCGTATACTTGACGACCTGGTGCCAGTTCAAGAATGCCTTCGCAGTGGCATCAATCAAGCTCTTAGCAGCGCCATTGTGGCCAGTCCTAAACAAAAAACCGAAAACGGTGATGCTATCATATGTCATAATTTGCGAAAACTGGCAAAACGGAGATTACGAGATCACGACTATGAGACAATTCATCCGTGGACAAGCAACGACAGCCTATAGCCTTCGAACCTTTTATGTGATTGTACAAAGTACGGTATAAAAAGTGTTTGAACCTCCATTTCGATATAAACTGAGTTGGGATTTTCCAGACCCTTAAAATGGCACATTGGGAGCATTATATTTCCCTAGGGATCACGTTGTAATCATATGTCTCTCTTACAGGGTACATTCAGTTTTGTGACAACAGAATACCCAATAAACAATAGTATAGTGAATAAATCCTGATATCTGGAAGTTTCTCATCTAATGCACTCATCTGGTAAGAGATAATCAGGGAAATTTAGAGCTTTTTCCAAGATCAACTGAAAACATTTCAAAACATGCTATCGCTCCTACAAAACAGGTAGAAGTTAAATGAAAAATCAACAGAATTCACACACAAAGAGATACTGGAAGCAAAAATATGGTAGAAGAAGTCTTACCGAGAACATACGCAGCAATCAGCTTTTGGTTGATTGACAGGTGCAGATACGGTGGAATGGAGGATGATGCTTTTTCATCGAAATATGTTGGCAGCATCAACGCTAGTACGCATGCGAATGACAACAGCAACACGGGTATGCTTGGTGTCTGTCTTTCAACCATTACATGTCCTGCGGAAAAGATGGCATAGTATCCGAATGTAAGTAAAAAATGTTTTTATCTTGCGAAAAAACAAAAGCTCGCTCCCCAAGCACTATAGATCCATGACATCATAACATAATTAAAAAGACAAATTTTCTACAATGCTTGCAATGCGTAGACTATTATTAACCTGTGTTACAGACCATATTGAATATCGACCTGGTCTATGCATTCAAAGAAGCTTCTCATTATGCGATGCATAAATTACAAGAGGCCCCATGCATAACTATGTGGTAGACGTGTAATTTATACATGTAGCCCACTAAAAGATTGAACAGCAGAAACGTTAAAGAGGGTAGAAACGGTCAGTTATGGGCACTGATTAAAATTTGCCACTTCTTGTTGATAACTGGAGCGAGAAAGACATATATCTTTCTGCTTTCCTTCATTAAATATTTTTTCCCCAGTTTTCAGAAGTTCCTTCATTTGACGGAACAGAAAACGCCTTTTTGTTGCACAAACGTCATTATTCGACCCGATTAGTTACGCTGGCTAGAACTATATCACTTTTCAAGAACTTGTTTTTATCCTAGCTGACTACAACAATAAAACGTTTTTGAATAATAGTGCTTTGGATTCAGACTTTGGTACTCATCATTGGTAGGCATCCTTCCTTCCCCAATCAGCAATCTAGACACCAGGTGATCTTTTGTAACAAGCCCAGTTAGCTTTTATTCCCATGGGGCATAGCAGGTAAGCATGGCAGGGGACATGAAATCTGCCTTGGATTGACAGGAGATGGGATGTTGTGCATAGCATCGAATCTAACATTGATTGGGGACAAAAATGTCAGCTTGCTGGGGACATAGGGAAATGGAAAAGCGGCCGGGTCATTCGATTCTTTTCAAGGAGGCTTCCAGGGTCGGGTCCAAGAGTGAATGTTTATCAGCAAATTTCTACTGACCAGATGATTATTTCTCTAATCAACTTGTTGTTTTGCAAATTTAGTGCATCAGTAAACCCAAAGTCCTGCATCAAAATTGTCCCCTTTTCTTCAATTAATAAGCGATAATATCTTACCAGAAGAATGTAGAGCCATTAAACTTTCAATCTGCCTCTTTTGTCTGCTGAGCGCCTTGTCCCTTTCCTAAAAAAATTTAAACACTGATGTATCATGTATAGAAAGAAAGATTCATGTCTGTAGATACTTCTTGTTTTTAGTGAAGCCTTTCTGTGGGTCAACTAAGAATACTTATTTGTGTCTAGCTGACTGGGAGATCAAAAAAGTGACATTATTTTCCAAAAACAGACGCTTGTTTTTTACAGTACATCTAATCCAAAGGTGTGTTTTCAACACAATGTTCAGCTTGGATTTGCTTTTTTAGGCATAATTTATAATATCCAATAATCAGCACCAAGCTGACTGCAGTCTTATGGCAAAAGTCAATCATTACTAAGAAAGGAACAACCAGTAAGAGATTCATCAAATCAGAAATTAGGAATACAATATCTGTAATATATAATCTTGAATATGAAATGTAAAGTCCGGAAATCTGAATACAAAATCCAGAAAACAGAATACAAAACTCAGGATATGGAATACAAAAACAGCAAAATATATTATCTGTAAACTGGAATGTAAAATCCAGCATAAAGAACTCATACAAAATCTGGAATCCAGAATATAAAAATCCAGAATAAAGAAGACAAAATCTGATAAATTTGTGTTTTTTTTATTATTGTTTCTACCTAGCATCCAAAGGTGGGTTTTAGGACACTTATAAGCTACGCTTATCAAGAAGTGTCCTGGTCCATCCTCTTGATGTGTCCACACCTCGTGATTCCTACCCCTGGAACTACATAGAGCTGGTGACTCTGGGTGTAAGGTTGGTCATGCCAGGGACTCGAACCACAGACCCTTTGGTCTGTAGTCACTGCCTTTAACAACTAAGGCATCCTGCATCTTCGGATATATAAAATCTCTAATCCAAATACAGAAAAACTGACCTGCTTTGAGTCTCCAGAATGTGCCAAAAGGCGCACTGGAATGTCTTTTCTTCCAAGAACTTCAGAGGTACCATTTTCAATCACATGAATTCGAAATTTGTCATCTTGAGAATGTGCTAGATTTATCTCTGTTATTCTGATGACTCTAAAAAAATGGGGAAAAACAGATGACTAAGAAAATTCAATGTGTAGACCCACCAATTAACATACATCTATAAAACAACCAGCATTATTTCTAGGAACATTCAACTTAATGTATTTGACCATGTCCAATTCATACTTCAACTGCCCAGTGAAAAAGGTTTGAAAACCTTACAATATTTTGGCTATGCAGAGCTGCCCCTAGTTTATTACCCTTGTTTATCATTAGTCTAGCAGCAAACTGGTCTTCCCCTAATTAGGCTATTTTCTTGATAGAGTTTTGAACTTGGTTAGAAGCCTTGATGGAGCAATAAATTTTTATTTGACCATAAATGATTGTCATTGGTTTGCTCCTGAAAAAAGGGAACTATGAAACATCAACATGAAAAATGAATGTGGTACATGTTACATTAGATCACAACAACAAAAACTATTTTCCATCATGTCACTTGTAGCCTTGTCTAACTGTTGCAAGCCTTTGGTCCATTCCTCAATATTTTAGGTTTCTGTCAGGCCTCATATCTAGAGAAACTTCCACTTTTTAGGCAGACATTGTCTAACCAATGCTGGTCAATCTCTCAAAAGATGTTTGGTAAAATCAAAGAAAATATATTTACATGAAACAACTTGCATTCTGATATTTTTAATGGCTAACATATTTGCTTGTCTTTTGCAACAAAGATTCCATTTTCTTAAACTCAATTTAGATAGATGTACCATTGTTTGACAATGATAACTTCACCACAGGCAACTCGAAGAATCAGACAATTTTTAAACTCCTTGTCTTCTATCAGTTCGATTTTATCAAATACATTCAGGGCAATTCACATTGTATGTATACAGGACAATGAAGAAGGGGGCTGATTACCTTGAAGTACGTATGCAAAATGTTTTCAGCAAGTGTTCTTTCAAAAAAGCTTTGATAATTGGTATTAAGTTGCAACCATGAGATGTGATGCAGATCATTTGCATTATGTGGGCATAGAGCTAGGTACATATTCATCACCACAATAAATGGTTCTTTATTATTGATCTTAGAGAAAACATTTACATATTATATTTTGTATTTTGTGTTTTCATTGTAATGAAAAGTTCCCTTTCACTGTGTTGTCTCTTGCAATGTCAAGAGGGGGCTTGACTCAATTAGGGTACATATGCAGAGGGGGACAGGATGGCCAGCATATAAGGGGGGAGGGTGATAGAAAATATAAGAAATTTACGTACTACGTGAATGACCCCTTCCCTCTATTCTTCTGTTTAACAGTTCTATGGAACCAAATTCCTAACTTTTGACACTTAATATAATTCCTATTGTTCTAAATGTTTTGAGAATGTGCCTAAATTATGGTTTCCTTTCTTACAATACTGCGTTTCCAGTAAGTAGTTTGAGATTCCTCAGGTATAAGGTGCCAGGGGGATCAAAATTGGCTGCAATATATTTTATTTTGCCTACAACAACCATTGATTTCTGGAAGTGTAGTTGGAGCTTTTGCAGCTGAAGTTTGGCTTGCTTGCCTGTATGCAATTACAAGTGAGTTTAAGTATCCAACTTGGATGATATAATGATATCAAAAAGAGATATCAAAAAAGAGAAGAAAATATTAACTCACATATCTATACAACATTTTGGTTTGATTGCTCCCTCTGATTCAACAACACTGTACTTTCTTGGGTTATTACAAAAAACTGAAAAATTGAAATTCTATTTAGTACATAATATAATTGGAAATTTCACGAATTGAGCTTGGTGCACATGAAAAAAATTACATCAAGAATCACATAACAAATTTCAATTCACGAGATTCCCTGGTATTTCATTCATATATTTAAATGCTGTTTGTAATTGAAATTCGTTCTATTATAAAATAAGAAACAAAGAGTACCTAACAGATATACCTACAAATTGTATTCATTGTGAAATTTCAGATGATAAATTGTCTATGACTTATTCATTTTTTTAGCTCTACTGACATTTTATCTTGAATGCTTAATGGCAATCTGAAGGAAGTTTTCAGGCTAGAAGTTTTAAGGTCAAGCAAGGGGATTTTTTGAGAAAACACCTACCTTTAAAACTTATTCCAAATTCGTATGGGTTGTACAGCGTAAGAACCTGTTTGTGAGTGAATTGATCATCCGCAAAAAAGTTTAATGATGTCGGGAAAACAAAAACTGGCAACTTCCCTTCCGCAAATTGGTCTGAATTCTCTCTCTTCATCGACTCCTTTGTCGAGTTCCTATTCGTTTGGCCTCCCTTCACTTAGGCCAACCATACGACTTCTCAGAAAAAGAATTGCTGTTTACCATTTATTACAGTGGTTCACCAAAGCTTGAATCACCACCAATAACCTCTCTCAAAACTAGAGAACTTTAAACCTGAGAAATGACTACAGGCGTCAGACGAGAAAGGGGAATATTAATTCCCTATCTAGGCCTCTGACGCAAGCAGTAGCAAAACAAAACAAATGGAGCTGCGCAGCTTTCCTCCACAGAAGCTTAGTTAATTGCTCGAATCTAACACTTGATGAAACAAAAATTACCGATTAAAAACAACAATTTATTAATTGCAAAACCACGGATAAGTAACGGATAACTAATCATGAAAAGTTATTAATGTCTAATAATCCGTTATAATCCGTCCGGGCTCGGGTCCCCCCCCCCCAAATCATTGATGTAGTCAGAAAATTCGGGCTTTCTTCGGATAATTGACAACCGTTCAACGTGTCGAAATTACTCCAAGAAAACGTTCTGAAAAGGCATTTTAAGCTAATTTAAGGGGTGTAATTGCCAAATTTTATCTGCATTTTCCCTTTTTACCCCCAGGAGCCTCTATAACCTCTCTGTGCCCTTCTTGCAAAATTTGAACAAAGCATAGCTGATAAAATATTAACCAGTACTAAATAATCAATCAAACAATGTATGACCAAAATCAAAACTGCTTATGAATTGTATATTTGATTCCAATTCCGTAAAGATTAGCCGAAATTTCCATCGGATTCTTCCGAATAAAAGTTATTTTCAAACGTATTTCCCACTGACGAAAACAAGATAAAATTCATAAAATAAACGTACGACTTATCAAAAGTGTAATCGGTCGACCTTTTGTATCATCAATTGTCTTAGATGAGCTATCGATCTCGATATAAAAAATCATAAATCGATTGTTCTTCTTGCTACTTAATTATAGCGTGGTCAGCAAAGATTTCTAAAGGGTCCCGTCAGAAAATCATCTATTTTTATCAAAATGTGCAGTCTCTTAAAATTAGACATGATCCAGGATGTTATCTTGTTGAAAAATCGTAGGCCTGGACCAACCCCCTCCCCCCTAATGAAAGCCTGAATTTCCGCCACTGAAATAGCCTCAGAAATCAGAAAGTTGAAAATTTACAAGAGCATGCACTAAGATTTCTTGATAATTGTCATAAAAGCTCATGTGAATCATTTTGCATTATCCAATCAGCATTGCAGGAGCAGAAACTACAGGAGGCTTTAATGCCATAACTGTATAGCTGCTATGGTATATTATGATAAACTCGGGTATAATCAGTAACGTAGCCAGGGTTATAAGATTGTGGGGGGGGGGGAGGAGGACAAGAGTGTGTTGGGTAAGGGAAAATTGAGGGTCCACGCCCTTTTGAACGCCAGAAAACGCCTTTTTAGATATATATTTTGTCATTGGGGGGTGTCTGTTCCTTTTGCCTCTTCCTCACTACGCCGCTGGGTATAGTGGTATAAAGCAGGGGTATGGTGCTATGAAAAGCCAAAGAGGGCACACGAAAGAATTCTCAAAATACTCATTAACAGGTGATAAATTTATTTTGGCGTAGCAAAACTTTATTTTGACTTGATGAGGAACAGCTCTACAATACAGGCAGGTGTGACTTGTAAAAAATTTAGCAAGGGTGTTCTAGGGGCATTTCAGTAAAATAGGGTGTGGTTTTGTATGTCCATACCCATCTCTTTATAGGGCAAGCAAACGCCTTTCATAATGGTTTCCGTTTCTGAAGCAAGGCAGTGCAGCATTAGGATAGACCGGAAAACACGATTTTTCACAAATATCCTCAAAGGAACATATATTATTTGAACATATGCTAGGAATAAAAGAATTAACAGTTCTTGTGCACCGTACGTCAAGATATTTGCAAATAGACCTGTTAAGGACTAGATCAACGCACAATTGTTTAGGAAGACTGTTTTGGAGCATCCCAAAATCATGAAAAATTTTAACAATAGACTTCTACCCCTGCCCTTCTCCCCGTAGAATTCACCACCGAATACAAGATTGTGTATACTTCTTGGTGCCTTGGTGTATACCACTCTCCTTGCATCTATCCTTTGCATTTTTTACTCTCAAGCCTTTTGCATACAGTTTACAAATTAAATCGTTTTAGAGGCAAATTTTGTTTTGTTTCGTTCCTGCCCCATAATCTTCTTTCCAAATTCCGATCAAATTTTGATCAATAGTGGAAAATATCGTTTTGTGTTATATCTAGAGCGTAGATAGGGCACTGGGCCCCAACAATTTAATGGCTTTCCCAGTGTCCAGTACCGTCAGAACCCGGGGCTGGGGGGAGGGGGTTTCCTTTATAACAGTGTACTGAATAAGAAGGAATACGAGTCCCCCCTCCCCCAATATGAATTTCGTTTCGACGGTATTGGTGTCCAAGATAACATGCTGATCCATTCAAATTTATACTTCTAATGTTTTTGAATCTGAACAAATTATTTAATATTAACAGCTTTGTGAATATTGATCGAGCTGCCTTGGTATTTGCTTCCATCATACAGCTTTTATCAAAATTTCGACACAAGAGCATTACCGATACCAAAAAGTTTTTTCCCGAAAAATTGGGAGTGGCCTTTGAAATTTCATCGTTCTATTATCAACTCAATTTGTTACTTAGTTAGTGGCATAAATATCGTTGCTATGTCGAGCTTTGTTTTGTTTTATGCTGTCTTGACTGTAAAACTCATATAACCTGCTAATACAGTGAAAACCTGCGTGTAAGACCCGGGGGGGGGGGTACTTATATATATTTAGGATAGGGATGCTCAGGCTGGGGGTACGAAACATCAGCCCAAGAAAGTAATTTTTAGCATAGCAAATTTTTAGCAAAGTCTTGTCTTGCACACCAAAAAAAATAACAAAGAAAAAGGTTCGAAGTATTTTCAAAGTATTATATGGACACAAAGAAATCAAATATACGGAACTCTTTTTTGACTCTTGTTATTTTTATGGGAGTTCCTTACATCATTCTGAATACTCTTATGTAGTTTTCATCTGCAATCAATGAAAAATAAGTCATGTTTAGTGTGTAAACCATATTTTTCTTTATTTATTAAAATTTTCTCACATTCGAGACCCAAAAAAATAATTCGGCATTTAATGAACCTAAACAAGTAATTGTATAATTGGCTGACTCAAAAAAATAACTTTCGCTCAAATTTTAGACTCAAAAATGTCACCTAAGCACACCTATCCTGAGTACAGTTTAGGCTAAATATGTTCTTAATTTGGTTCTTAAATTCTACCGTGTACATATTGTTGTTTATAATCAGAAAATATATTGTATCTTGTCCGTTTTCATTCTAAATGTTTATTACTGCACCAATGTTGCCAAATGTCCACCAACAATGATACATTCAATAAACAGTAGCACAAATTTATGATAATAACAGTTCAAATTCAACATACATTTTGCATTTTGAGTTTCATTTGAAGAATCCAATTTTCTGTCACCTTTTCGGTTTTTGGTAGAAAAAGTATATAAATTAAATGGTTCAACTCCACATATAAGAACCTGTTAGGAATTATTTGGCTACACAGGTTCTTATATTTTGGAGTATTAAAAAAGCAAATTTCTGTCAGAAGGTTCTTAAATCCCTAGGTTCTTACACGCGGTCTTAAGGCTAGAATTAATGGGAAAAACTATTGGCCACTATAGAAATTTCAGGACCAGTAGCTTGTCGCCGTTTGTTTTATGACCCCCTTAATTATAGACAAGATAAAAAGAGATTGGCAACAAAAAAGGCGAAATAAGGAACATACAATTAGAAATGGTTCACGTTATTGCTACGAGACTAGTTATTGCTACGAGACTTTTGTCAATAAATAAGTGTCCTGAAAGCAGGCAGTCTGTTGGTCAGCTCTTAATAGATTTTGCCATGGTGAGAGTACAAGTATTTCTTGCCTGGCTTTCCAGGTCTGCCACGTGGTCCAGCAGGACCTCTTGGTCCCCTACGTCCTGGTCTGCCGTCTCTTCCTGGTTCTCCCTTTCTCCCTGGCCTTCCAGGTCTTCCAGGATAACCTCGTCTACCTGGGCGTCCTGGCTTTCCAGGCTTTCCTGGGCGACCCGGTCGTCCGTTAAGCCCTGGTAGTCCGGGGCGTCCAGGTCGTCCTTTCCTGCCGGGGCTTCCTGGAGGTCCTTTTGGTCCTAGAGAAGGAGAAAAGCATCAACTAAAATCGCAATGCCCATTACATTAAAGAAATCGACCTTGGTACAATATACTTTTTCATTGCTATAGAAATACACGATTGCCGAGGTACAGCTGATAAAACGAAAATGAAACGGAAAACAATCAATGTAAGTGAAATTTTTCATAGGTCTAAACAAATCAATTTTTTAGAGTTTTAGAACAGCCCTTTTTTACCAACATTGAATTTCAATCTAAAGCCTTGTACTTGATGACGCGACATACCAAATAAAAAAGCCAAATAAACAATTTTAATCATTGAAACGGGAAACTTACCTCTCCTTCCAGGTGGGCCAGCTGGCCCTACTGGTCCGGGTGGTCCTGGAGGTCCGGGTGGGCCGGGAGGACCCTTAACGACTTTCACTTTGTGCCCATATCCATAGCCTCCATATGTTGGGTCTTCTTCAGCATCGTTTTCGCTCTCAATGTACATTGCAGTGGCAATGCCTAAAAGAACGAGAGATTTGGATGCAACACAAGTATATGTCAAAAAGCAAGCTAAAGTAGATTGTTGAGCAAGATCCCCCGAGATCTAAGACAGCACAGGTAAGAGTCAATAAATCTTTTAATTGTAGGACAAAATTGGGAACTGAAGCCTAGTACACGTCACAAGGGAATGGAGGTCCTAGATGCACTTGCGCAAGAAATTGTTTTGAAATCAAATGCATGTTTGGAGCAGTATACTTAGAATTGGTACTTGTTACTTGATTGCGTTTTTGCGTTTGGCTCTAATTTCAAAGACGATTAAAGCATGATATCGAAAAAACACCAAGTCCTTACGGAAAGTACATTGCTTCCCAAGACTTTGATTTGATCCTAGCTGTTACTTGAACTATAGTGTTGCTTATACTAACACAGTCCATATATATTGTATAAAATTGGAGATAAACACGTGACTTACCAAACAGCAAACAAGAGAGCATCAAAACCTTCATGACTGCACTTGAATTTTCCTCACTGTCACTACTGGAACCAACGCAGGGGTGACTGGTGAATCCCGAGCTGTACCCGCTTTTTATAGAAATCCAAAATGCAATTACTAGCCTCAATTAACTTTTCACAAGCTGATATAGAGCCTTGTGGCAAAGCTGGCCCATTATTGATTAATTAAATGTATTTCCAGTTTCTGGATAATGCCGAGAAGCTTGCAAACGATGAACTAAATCATTCTATGGTACAAAAATACAAGCAATTGAGAAACTGATTTATGTGTGAAATGCACGTTTGGTTAAAATTATTGTGGCTATTAGAACTAATGAATATAAAATGTGAATTCAAGATAGTTAGCAGAGTAATGAAAACTAAAATCGGAAATGAATTAACTTGTTATAAATGAGCTTCAGTGTGGGTGTAGAGAATTCCTAACATAAATATTTAGATCAAAAGAGGATTTTTGGATATAATTGAATGCCCATACACCAATCTAGGATGGCAAAAAATTTACAATGCCTGCCAAAAGTGCTTCGAACATTTGCGATACGTTTTCATACTTTTAAATTTTCCCCGAATACTTGTATTTTTGCATCTTCTTTCCCCAAAAACAGTGCTAATAATTTAGACAAGTCACATAAAAAAACTTCATAATCTCCTACGTCGTTTTATAGTAAATCAACATACTTCAAAGGGGAGGGTAGGGGTGTCTGAATTTTCCCTTGTAAACTGAGTTTATTGTACCAAGACTGTCGACAGGCGTTGTAGGTTTTGCTTTACATTCATATATTAATTTCAAACTCATATCAAACTTTTTAAAGAGAGTTGTTTTTCTACAGGAGCCGTTTTCCAAGGAGTCCTCTGATAAAAACTGACAGTCTAACAAAACAAATTAAAAAAATATAAAACTATTAGATAAATTAAACTATAAAACCTTTTTTATAACATTCTAAGTTTACAGTATCCCTAAACTACAACAAAAACGAAAGGTCTTTCTGCTAAATAGTTTTTTGAAACTATACAGAGAGGTTGCCAGCTTTGACTCGGCTGGCAGGCTTTGCCATACTTCGCACCCCTACATAAAACCTTTCTAGCCACTTCATTCAAGGATCTTTTTTCGGCACCCTTAAGTCGGTCTCCGTTTTACGGAGGTTATATTACGAGGAGAGCAAACTCGGGGTAGAGAGCACTCAAGTATTATGGAGCCCTACCATTCAAGGACTTGACTACCACAGTCTTTGATTCGTTAGTAGCCAGCCCTACAATTAAAGGTCCGCTTGGGACATCAAAGCTGCTCGGAGAGGTAATTGATGGTTTCTATCGATTTTCTGATACTCGCACCCAACAATCGTTAATAACTCTCGATGTCTCCAAAGCATTGTAAAATGGAGTTTAGTTCTCACTGGTTTCATTTTGCTAACAGACAAGATATAAACGTGCCAAGAAATGTAGTGGATCAAATAGAAACGAAAATGATAACAGTCAAATATACAAGCCCTTTAAATATATTTCTTAATTTATGCTGACCATCAAGTTTGCCAGGTAAGCAATATAATGCTGAATCTGCTTAGTTAAGACGCGATTCATTACTCTTGGGGTTGTGGGGGTGCCCCGTAGCACTGCCCGTACAAAAAGCATATGTTTGTGTATAGGGGAGAGGGTCTGTTGATATGCATTTTATTTCATTTCATTTATATACCTTTTATCCACAAATACCCTATCGGCATAAACAAACTACTACTACTACAACAAAGTATTTATTTGACAATACTCGAATAAAAGTTGCTAATATACCTATGAATCGTGCTTTTGGTGCTTATTAGCTTGCAGGAATTCCTTTTAAACATGGAGGTTGTAGGGGCACTATCTGACGTTACGATGTAATCTTATTCGATGTTTTGGCACCAGAGTAAAAGAAACCTCTCTTTGAGAATTGCAGATTTTGCCTTTGGATTTTAGTATCAACTATCAAGCTGGCTCTTGGTGAAATAACTGTATTTTTCCAACATGGTGACCAATCTACCTCTGAGGCTGTCAGGGCGAAGGCCGTTTATCATTTTTTATGTCATTATGGCCCCGTCATATTTTCAATTATTTTTTAGCTCTATCTTGGAGACGCTGAAATTCCTCAAGCTTTTGCATCAAAATATCAGAATAGTTCTCGAAAAGTAAAAGGCATAAAAGAAATCCATTTTTCAACGTAAATTAAAAAATAAAATTAGCCGAATCTTTTAGTGCTAGATATTTCGGCATTCACTAAAACAATCAAAAACTGCCCTACAGAAAGACTTTCACATTAAGCATCGATTGAAGGCAAAGCAAAAAAAACTTTAAAGCAAGACTAGACACAGCAAACAAAACTAGAGAATATTACCTTTTTTCTTGAATTCTCTTAGGCATGCGATACTGCCAATCATTCCATTTAACTGGACAAATGGGAACCCAGTACAGGGTTAGGCGCATTGCAAACTTCTGGTATAATTTAGTAGTTATTATTTCAGCTAACTTAGAAGGACAATATCAAACTCAAAATAAGTCCTTTGTAAGCAAAAAATCTAGTTCCTTAACATATACTTAGAACATTTCAGAACATTTCACAATTCATTTATTCAGCGTTGCCCCAAAAATCTTCACGGTTAGTAACCTGCCCACCAAGCAGCAAATGAATATGAGAGATAAAAGGCAGCAAGGAAAGTTTAACTGGCCACTCTAGCTCATTATGCAACAAATACAACAAGTACCTCCTTTAACAGATGCATTCCATGCCAACAGATTGGATACAGGACACATGCATACCTTCACATAATCTATCCTGTTATTCTGCATATCAATGCAAGCAGAAATAAATTTGAATGACTCAACGAAAGGGTTTACGTTCATCCCCAAGGCTACTAATCATTATATCTGAAGTTGACTTAAGTTAAATCTATCGCACACTCCATAACCTGGCTCTATCGTACAATGCCCGTTCTCCCATTTTAGGTTATAATTGCTGTGTCAATGATGGCATCAGTTTGGGTCAAATATTTGGAATTCCCCTTCAAATAAAGCTCCGAAATAAAAGCGTCTGCAAGGTTCGGAGTGAATAAGCCCCTTTATGTGATATCTTCAAATATTTCAAACTGGATAAAGCGCTAATAGATCTGAAATGTATAATTAGAGAAATGCAAAGTTGAAATCGAATATTTCATCACAACTGACAGAACAAATTTTCTCCCCGGGTTTACAGGGTTACGACAAAGGAGGGTTAACACAGACGTAAGTTATTTAAAAATAGAAAATTATCCAAAACGTGTGATGGATTGTTTACTTCGTAATGCGGAAAAAAAGACGATTTAGAAGTAAACACCGGGTATGATCAAAAAGTAGTTGATAACGAAGAAATTTCTTAAATTATTCAACAAAAATTACATACTAGTATTTAATAGAAAAGACGAAAAACCTTTCTCGATACACATTTTTAACTAGACAAATAAGAAAAGATTTAACTTACCATGATTAGGTTGATGTGGCTACTACAATTGAAAAAGCATAAGCTTACCATTAGGATGTTTCAGTATGGGTTTGCAGTATAAATACAAATATTTCGTAAGACCTCACAACCACGTTCAAACATGCGTAAGACCTTACAAACATGTTAAATGCAATTCTACGACGCTACTAGAAGATCAGGGTTTATAACAACACTCTTGGTGCAGTTGTTTGTTTTGTAGATTCCAACCAGGCGATCAGCCAGCTCAAACATGTTATTCCGTAGACTGATAATGATAAACTGGGCATTTTTGGTCCGTTCCTGGAAAAAACAGGAGACAAAATTTGAATTTTAGGGATGGAAAGGATAAAATAAACAGATAAAAACAAGGGAAAGAAAGGAAAATAAAAATGTTAGAATGGGAAGGGGAAATAAGAGAAAACGGCGGGAAGGGAAAAGCAAATACGTAAGGGAAAACAAAAGGAAATAGAAGGATTGGGAAAAGTGAAAAGGTGAAAATGGGAACTTCAGTATTAAAGAGGGCATCATAGAGTGAAGTCTTGCAAAAGAAAGTTTGGTCTTGTTAAGCCAAAAGACTGGATGCGAGATGACGCCTCACGCCAAAAATGTTTTTCTTTGAATTTTGAATTCGGACGATATGAACTGAAAGGGCATTATGAAATGGTTCTAAATTTGAAAAAAAAACAGCCGAATGGTATAAAAAATAAGTATAGAATCAAAAGAGTATAAAAGCTATCAAAGAGTGGATGGGACACTGCCATATAACTACTATCCTTTCCATTGTGATCCACTTTTTGTTTACAAACTTTAAACTTTACAAACAAGGTAAAAAAACAAGGGCAAGCCTTTAGAAAACTTGCTATGCGTCCTGCTGTTCAATTAAGTCCTGGTCAAGTAAGCCCAGAAGAAACACACATCAATGGTTGAGAGATATTCTAGTGGGTTCTTTGAGATTTTATACTTCAAAAACATATTCTTAAAACTAGCCTCTTTGACACAATTTTCAATCTATAATTCTTCTTACCTTTATATAATTTGCAACGATTGACACATTTTTGAAGTCCAAGGCAGCATCGATTTCATCCATGACGTAGAGGGGTGTTGGTTTGTAGTGATGGAGTGCAAATACCTTGAAATTACACAAAAGCCAACTTCAGCAGAGAAGGAACGGGTCAAATCATGAATACAGGGAGAGAATTCGCACGATTAAAGAGAAATAATCGTGACAAAGTAGAACGTTGCTGAACGATCGGTTGTTAATGAACAGCTCAGACAGATCACTGGGTGTTCTGAGAGGGCTCCAAGTGATCTGTATTCGCTGCAAAAAATTCTGGGACGGTATTTGATGACTTATTAATAAAATGAGCGTTAAGGCCATAACAGTCGTAACAAAATTCATGAGATGGGACGTGAGTTCCAGAGGAAGGAATAGAAGACGGGAGCTAGACGTGATGTAAGCCGCCACAAAAATGAAAATTGAAAATCAACAACGTACCAAAGCAAGTGAGCTCAATGTCTTCTCCCCGCCGGAAAGATGCGAAATATTCTTCCAACATTTCTTGGGAGGTCGCACGCTAAAGTCAGCAAAAGAAACAAAATATATATTCATTTTCTAACACCAAAATGATGAAACATGTACATTCAAGAATGCGAAAATTCAAGGATAACATGACAATCTCTGGATCAAATCAAAGAGCTAAATCAGCCATTATCTCTGCAGCTGGCAATTCTATGCTCCCTTTGAGGAAAGCCAAGAGGGTAAACTTCATTTCAATCTAAATGATTGAATGTTTGATACTAAGTTTTCTCTAATTTTTGTAACTTTTAGATTACTTCTTCAAAGCACCCAAAGTACAGGATGGCTGTGCTTGAAGGTGTTGCTTACTGCATCTTTGCGATGGCGCACTTAAAAGCGGATGCACCTTAGAGGACGCACTTTAGAGGACGCACTTAAGAGGACGCACTTTAGAGGAAGCACCTTAGAGGGCGCACTTAAGAGGACGCACTTTAGAGGACGCACCTTAGAGGGCGCACTATAGAGGACGCTTTTTGGAGGACGCACTTTAGAGGACGAACTTTAAATGTACGCCCTTGAAAGACGAACTAAATGAGAAAAAACTTTAAAGGACATTAGAATCTGACCACCTGGCCTGCAAAGTGTCCAACCACAACACTTACGAGCATGCAACCTGTAGCAGTAAGAGTGTGGAAATCAGGCCTGCTTGTCAGGGTTACACAATCAAGCTAAAGATACTTCCACTTCCAGCAGATTGTGCATGTCTCCCAGTTCGAGAAGAACCATCAGCAAGCGTTCGGCACATAGTGAAACAAAATAATGCACATTGCTAATTATCACCCCAAATCAAATTTGGTTGAGCATCTTTATATCAAAACCAACCTACTAAACTAGTAAATAACGAAGTTCCATAAATTAACTGAGCATCTACACAATGTAGTTTACAGAAAAATGGATTTCAGATATTTCAATAAATGGCTCTACTATTCTTGTGATCAAGTGCCATTTACTGCTACGTGCTGCCACAAAGATGTCTTCAAAGGAGGTGCAGCATACAAACTCTTATTCAGCCTCGCCCTTCTCATTTCAATTACCAATCTCATTCAAGCAGAAACATGAGAAAGGTCTTCTTAAATATCAAAGCCCTTCCTTTCAAAGCCGCTTTTCCTGTTCTGTAGTCAAGGTTAATGCTTTTTACATACCTAAAAACTATGCCTTCTGAAAATGGATCCAGACTGTCCAGTAATTCCAACTCTGCATCTCCCCCAAGCGTGATCATCTACACAGAAGATATCAAATTCGTTTCTTAGATGAATAATTTTGCTAAGATGATTGGTCATAGTTGTAATATGTTCGGCTATTAGTCTTAGCAACAAGATTGTTAGTTATGAGTCTGAGTTGAAAGATTGTCGATTCTAAGTCTCAGTAGCAGGGTTTAAAAGGGTTGTCGGTTCTATGTTTGGGCTGAAAGAATGCTGGAAAAGAAAAGGCTTCACTATTTAATAATGAAGATCTTCATAGTTATGAATTGACGATTACGACAATCACAGCACGAGCTTGAAATTATCATAGTAGCGGTTGAAAAGGAAGTCAGAAAATGTAAGTTCTTATAGTGATAAACTGCATTGAAATGGAGAAATTTTCGTAACAAAATTCAGTAGAGACTTTGTGCTGTTCATGAGAAGCCGTCACAAAGTTCGGTACCTGGTACATTTCTTTCAACTTTGTGGTGATTGTGCTGAATCCAGCCATGAACTCCTCCAGTCTTTGCTTTCTGAGAGATTCATGCTCTTTTCTCTTGGTATCACGTTCTGATGTCACTTCATCACACTGTGCAACGCGTTCCAAATAGGCCTCTTCCTGTAAAAGCGAAAGAAGAACTTAGCAAGACACAGATAGGCAGTGGTGGTCGTTTTAAAGGGGGCGGGAAAGGAGAACATATTCAGTTTAATGAGATTCTGTAATTCATATCAGGCAGTTTAAAGCAAAATTGCCCACCATCCTGGCGAAAATCTATATAAATTTTGAACCTAAGCAGGTTATGGTATAGAAATGAAGGAGCAAATTCGATCAAACCTTTGGCAAAATTTTCGAGAACCTAAAACCCCGATCTTCTGTTCAAACAAACAGTTTTCGAAACGAACAGTCTGTGTGGAGAGAATGGTATCCTATGCTTGGACAGACTTTCTTCCCCTTCTAGCCAACAAATATGAAATACCGCAACAAGACTATAATGGAAAGTTAATAAGCATTTATCGGACAATCCAAATTATGAGGTCACAGAGCTGTGAGTTGTAAATGTGATTTTAATGAAATCTTCATACCTTCTTGCGATATTCAGCGATAGCAGCCATATTTGGTTGCATTGCTTTCAGCTTTTCTTCTTCCACAGATATTTTGTACTAAAATGGAACATTTGATTTTACTTTAAAAACAATGCTAAACTTAAGAAATGTCCAACAAAGAGCTAAGACGATAAAGGGAGACTTGGAAACTGTTTGCTGTAGGGAAGATTAAATTTTAATGACTTGTTCTGTATATGAAAAGTCGTTCTTAGCTGTAAAGGTTGCCGAGGACGCATTTCGAGGAGCCATTAAATAAGGGGAGTTGACAGATTAGAGGTATAATAATGGGAAGAATGGAAGGAAGGGTTGTTGGGAAAAGAGGTAAGGGAATTTAATAAACAACAGGGTTGTTGAGAAGAGGAGCAGCTATTGCTTATAAACGAGAGGGTCCGCTAAATTTAGACATGGACGAAACGTTGGAGAAATTAATATGCAAGTATTTCGCTGAATATGTAGATATGCTAATCTCATTCGGTGGAGAAAATTGCCTAGAACCAAAGATAGAGCAATACATCTTTTTACTATCTTGCAGACTGAGATTGGTCTACTATGCATTTAAGCCGAAATGACACAGCCTCTATATAAATCAACAGTAGGAAATAGGAGACAAAGTTTAGGTCACATTATAGCCGAAACGTTATAGCCGAAACAATTTCGACATTGTGTTGACGGAGACGTAACAAGAAATGTCTTTTCGCATTTTAGAGATAAATCATTTACCTGCAGATTCTCTTGGTCAATGTCTTTCAACTCCTCATCCTCGAATGTTGGCAGTTTTTCTGGTTCACTTGCCTCAGTTCCAACATTGTGAAGCGACAGTTTGTTGATCTATTTAGAATTCAATCATTTGCAATTGAAATAGAAGCATTGGCAGGGTAATGTAAGAATATTTGACATTAACAGGTCAAGATCGTTCCATATAAGACTAAGTGCTGGCACAATGGGAAATGCTGCTAGAATACGGAAATGGGTTTCAGGGTATGTCGTGAGGAAGAAAAGATGTTTTGCTTATTGGGTGGTACACTGATCCCACCGCTCTGGTGAATGGCCTTCTCATTTAGTTACAGAACGCCCGTGGTCATTAAGGCATTCCTTGCACGCTTGTACCATATTGCGATCTCGGCTTTTTTGTTTGTTATTACCGAGCTCCCGATAGTACGTTTTAGAACACCGAGAAGCTACAATGCCTGCCAAAAGTACTTGGAACACCCACCAATTTACGCTGCATTTGATATCTTTCATTCCTTTCATGAAAAAAATTTGCTACTTCCGCCCCCTTCCCCCTCAAACAATGTTGATGATTTAGAGAAATATCATAAAAGAAGCGCAAAAGAAAGTGCTTCCTAAAATCCTAGTCCGTTTGATAATAAACCAACATTGTTCCGTGGGGGAGAGGGGGATGATTGGTTTTGACCTTGGAAATTGATGTCAGTGTTCCAAGACTTTTGGCAGGCATTGTATGCTTATGAAGGAGTGCCCTGGTTTTTCCTCTGCGCTGTTTGAAAAGCTTACTTCCTATTGACTATGAAAGATGAGTGATTTTTCAATATCCCCGCATGGCCTAGGTTTTGTTGATATTCGGGAATCAGAAGACGAGGGCAGGGTTTGCTACGGACCGCTTTGTTCCTTTGGGATTCGTAGCAAATTTCATGGAAATAAGAGATGTGAGAAAACTTCATGGAAATAATAGCTGTGAGGGTATTTATTTATAGAGGTTTAGGTCCATCCTTTGAACAAAGGAAGTAGCATAATGGTTAAACTGTATCTCCGAACGCTGTAGAAAATAACATAGCCTCAATTCGCTTATCACCTCTCTTAAAATCACTTTTTACTGTTGCAGCTTTCCCTTCATAAAAATCGTTATAAAAGTCCTTGGAATATCCAGCGGTAGATGACCGTATTTTTTAAATTAACAGTTTCCGGGCAGTAAAATGTTGAAAATGTATCCCTTCCCCGGAAAAGCAATGATTGTGAAAGCTTTCAACTTAAACTATCCAAAAGTATCACATTGGGCAGATTTCATGCTCTGAAGCTGCTCCTAGGCAAAATTGTTGCAAGGGGAAGATTGAGGACAGTACTGAAAACATGAAAACATGATTTTGGTAAGCACGTGACGTTATTCAGAAGTATTCTCTCCATTGATTTTTATACTCTAAACAGAAATCATATTCATCATCATAACTATTATTATATGAAAGATTTTTCAACCAATTCAACAAAAGTAAACTGGCCTTGTCTTTATGATGTCTTAACTTCATCGAATTCTCCTTCAGTATGTTTTCATATTGCTGCAGTTCATGTTTGACGTCGACTTCCTTGGCTTTTAGTTCGCTCTCATTCTTTTCAAGCTCCGTGCATTCTGCGTTGATTTTTTGCAACTCCTCTTTGGCAACCTCGGCTTGTGCCTGATAATTAATGTAGAATTGCCTTATAAACTAACTAATGCATAATGTATGCTAATTAATGCAAGATGCTATTGGCTAACGACCCAAACATGACAGATCTGGAAAAATACACAATATTTCCGGTCCCCAAAGTATCATTCAAAAGTTTGAAATTCTTCTCATGAAAGTCACAAAATAGTCGGGTCAGTCAACTTTGCAAGGTCCATCAAAACATCCGACATTCGTCTTAATAAACTTTGCATATCCTCTTCTCTGTCTTATTCCAAGTTTCTCTCCTCTTCATTTTCACCGGCTCTTCTATGCTGTTACATGTGAGACTTTTGCAATTTAACAGATTCAATCAACTATCTTAGCTCCATCTTCAGACAAATACTGTTGCAACGGTTAATTACAAAAACGCCGATTACAACTGGACCCTTCTCTATTTACCTTTGTCAATATCAATCAAAGACCAGCTAAGCGGGAATGCATAAGTTTATTGAGAAGAGTTTGTGATTGCATGATTGTATACAATGTTGTTCAAAGATTGAATTTTTGTACTTTTGGATGGATTTGAGATTGCAAGTGCACCCAAACCAAGTCACTTCCTACTAGGCTCGAGGAGATAGAGTAAGAGCCATGCTGCCAAATAACTATCACCTGATCGTTTCCGAACTTGTGAACATTTCATAAGCACTAATTTTGAGTTCATGTCTTCGCAAAAGGCAAACATTTTACAGCTGGATCTTATTAAAAACAATATCATGCTGGACGGCAAAATATCAATTTCACTAATTCACATTATTGCTGAATAAAAACTAATTAGCAGACAGATGAAACAGCAGGAAGCCTTCAATACCTGCTGATGCCGATAATTACTGTAAGTGCTACTGTTGCAATTCGTTTACTTTTTTCCGGAGCCCTCCAAACTAAAAAAATCCATGCTCGATAAAACACAGATGTATTGTCCCAGAAACAAAAGTTTTAGTTCATTCAGCATTATTTTGGGCTAGTTCTACGGACAAATTCGATCTATTTTCCGATGTTATTGAATTCCACAAAAGAAGACTTTTGGCACTTAGTATTTTCCGATGTTTTCTAGTCGTACAAAACATGGCCTTTACATGGTACAAGTATCTTTTGTCTGCAAATCCGCAAAGTTTGAATCGCGTTAAAGCAATGGAGTCGCTAAAGAAAAGTAACACGAGGAGTTCCGAAGAGAAACTTTTCTGTCTGCCAAACACGATCCTTTTGGGCTTTTCTTTTGACAGGTTTTTAAATGCGAAGCTGATCGAACGACCTCTGCGCCTTATAACCCTAACACTGTCACATGAATGGGTTTTGCCACAATCTGGGTCCTCCGATAGGTCTTGTCCCACGAGGGAGACGGAGCTGTATATATCTGACACTTTTTTCTTTGTGGTACCGGTTTTTGTCGTATAGCGACAGGAAGTAGATTTAACTTTAGAATTATTTACTGTTATTAAAATACCTGTGACTCTTCTCTTTCTTCGATTACTTTAGCAGCCTCGTCTTCAAGAGTGACAAACTCTTTCTGAAACCATAATCAGAAGTCGTCATAATCAAGAAAACAGTAGAAAAGTCTCTACTTTTCTCAGAAAACAAAACTCATAATAGGCGAATTATAAAACTGCGGGCTGAGTATTTAGTGAACGAATAAATGCATGTAAAATTAACATGACAAAGCAATCGTGTCTCGATATCAAAAAGCATCGCAATTCTATTAATGCAAACACCTACAAACGCATAGCATGGGGATGTCCATAGATAAAGTAAAGGACACAGAGAGATATTTTGTTAGAAGGGAACACTTTGCTTCCTATCCAACAAGAAACACATTCAATAGTCTACTAGCCACAACTGACTTTCTAAATTTTCAAACGCAACATCAAATTTTCAAAAATTTAACGCAAGTTGAAGAATAATCTGCATTTAAAAGAGAATGAGAATCATATTTTCGCTACATATGAAAATTTAGAGACAACGACTTTCGAATAAGATGAAACAAAGCGATACATACATCTATTTTTTCAAGCATTTCATCATTTTCCTGAATCTCTTTCTCTAGCGACTTGCATTTTTCTTCAGCTTTCGTCAGATTTCTTGCAAAGGAAAAAGGCAACAGAGTTAATCATCAGGTAAAGAAAGAATTTGCAAAAGAGTTTCAAAGGCCATAATGATTGGTTGATGATCATACGTTGGATGGCTACGTAACATCCGGTTACTTACTCTAAGACTAATGACGTGTGTCAAGGCCTAAGCAGGTATGTAGCAATTGTTTGTTTGGTTTCTCGCATTACTAGCGTCTAAAATTGATTTTCCATTGTTGAAAATCCTACAAATTTTAACATGAACAACAGGCATTGTATCAAGTGTGATGTGTTTCTCTGGATTACAAAAGAAGATAATATTCACAGAAACGAACCTTTTGGCTGTTTTTATTGCCACGTTAGCCTTTGAAATTTCTTGTGAAACTTCATCCATCAGTTTCTTGACGGAATCCACTTGCATCTGTCAAATAAAAAACCGATAAATACATATTAAGAAATCTTAGGGCACCATTCTGAATTGAATTCTCTAGGAAAATTCTCAACTGAGCAAAAAGGCAGGCTTCATTCAAAATTTCACTCTTTTGTAAGAGACATTTCTTTGCAATTAGCTGGTATGGTAGTTAGAACAAAAAACAAAATTCAATGAAATCAGAGTCGAAGATTGATTCAGGGTAATTAGTATTTCTCAGCCTTGCACGAATATGTTGAGCCTTGACCAAATACGTAGGAAATACAGCCGAATTGGTATATGCTTTTATATACATGCATGACGTCTATGTTTGAGTGAAAGCAAGAGCCAACTCACTTGCTGCGATCGAAGCTTTGAGCCACCTATGTCCATGATCTTCTTGTGTAACCTAGGAGAATGACGTCATCAGTAAACAAAGTTAAAAATGACGGAAATGCTTTGATAGGAGACTGAGAGAACAAAATTTGCAATGAGGAATCCAAGAAGAATAAGATAGTTGTTATTTTAATATCCACAATTTGCTCATTATTTGTAAATACGATAAATGTAATTAGATAAAAGAGAACAAATTAGGGTTGTCACTGACTTCTGGACAGCCTCTTCGATAGTACCGGCAGCTTTTGATGCTTTGTTAAAATCTGTAGAAAAGAATATTAAAATTAAAAAACATTCTCAAACGTCCAATAAGGAATATGAACACGGAAGAGAATTGTTTGAAAACATCTTGTCGAAAGATTTACCTTCGCTAAGATAAAAAATTTTACGTTTGAAATTGAAAAGCTGCAAAGAATTTAGGACAACACTGCCTTTCCAAAATGCTTGTGTAACAGCTCAAACCAAATTTGCAGACATAAAATTTCATTTCTAGAATTTTAGTTTCCAAAATTTATTGACGTGGCCTGTAAGATCAATAGCAAAACCAGATGCTGTTTTTTGTAACTGGTCCTCCAATTGCCATCTAATATTCGTGAGATTATTTAACAACTATTTAAAGCGACTACATACAAATGAATACATCTTAAAAGCTAATTAATACTTGCCTTTCGTGCAAGATGACACAACTGCTTCCAGACTATCAATGTGGTTTCTGTCAGGAACCGCCTTTTTAAGTTGTTCCTCAAGAGTCACAACTCTCTCCTTTTGCTCTTTCAACTGCTCTGTCAGGGCCTAATAAAGCAAAAGAAGAGCCTTAGCAAGCTAGCGCAATAATTACTGTAAAAAAACTAAATATTTTCAAATAGCAGATCTACTCGGTTAACAAACGTTTTCTGGCTTCAAAAAATTTTAAAAGCTCTTATTACTTCAAATTCCATCTTAGTAGATTGGTATGATTGACGTCTGCGATCGTCAAATATTCAAAAATAAGGCGTCTGTCTTGAGTGAATGCAACTGAAAAAGTTTGTCGAAAAACACTTTTGAATAGAGGAGATTTACACTTTCTGTATAAGTCTTGAGCTTAAGCATTGAACATTAAACAGAAAAGGTTTAAATAAATTCTAATAATGCCATCAGCAAATCATGTACAAATTAAAACTATCGAATTATCGGCTTCCTGACCTGTATTTCCATATTCGCTTTTTGGAGGCTGTGCATCTTTGCAGCAAGCTCCTTTTTTATGGCTTCCAGTTCCCTCTCCAACTCTACCTTTCGTTCACTTAATGCCTACGGAATAGGAACAAATTCTGTAGATAGATTCATGCAAAATTGCTTGTCAAAACAAGTTTGAATACAGTTGCAATGGAGTGATACAGTGTCTACAAGATATAGGTGGGTGGGTGGGCTTCTGTAGAGGCTACAAAAATTACATAATGAATCTGCCTTGAAACTTAAAAAATTCACAAACTCATTCGAAATAAGATATCTATTACGGAACTTTATTTCCAAATGCATTCTCAAAAAAACACAACAGACTAAATACGTTTCCAAATAAACTATTCAATACCAACTTTTTCGGACAAGCAATTGGGGCCAATTCTAGATCTAAAGGGAGCGGATTCAAGCAGTTAAATTTGAAAATTTTGCCTTTTTTCCAGCGAGTGCCTTAGGTTCATATATCCCCGAAATGTAAAATATATAAATTAGATGTTTTAGCAGCCATTGTGGTGTCGAGATTTTGCAATATTCCCCCAATTCAACGTTGATACTTTAACTATAAAAAAATTAGACTGAACTTTGAGGGGAGCAAGAGGTCGTACTGTTAAAGCATGATGTCCAAAACATGTTTATGTATCTGTCTCAACAACAATCAACTCCGACAGCCAAATTCTAGCAATTTCAGCTACTCGAACTTTTATGCATGTTCTAGAGAACGATAACCCATTGCCTTTCCCGGAGACGCACGCAAAAAAGTTTTGCGAGGGCTTTTTTCCTCCCACGCAGTTGTTTATAACAACGCTCTCATTGAATCCGCTTCGTCTCACTCTCTAATGTTTTAACTACTTACCGCTATCAGGGTATTCAAAAATAACGTCGTGTCAAAGAGATATATGGTTTTTATAAATATCGTTATAAAAAGAAACTCCGTTTCTTTTCACATCAAATGTTAACAAACAATAGTATTATCTGTTAAAACTAGCAATAGACAAGGAAATGATTGTGCAGGAAAGGATCCAGAGATAACGTAAAATAGCAACAATGAGAATTGTTACACGACACTGTCAAGTACCAAACTTGTATTACGAATACAACTATTTCTTAAGAGTAACGCGCTATAACTCGTCTTTGCTCTTTGACTTTTCAACTAGGTGAGAGATAAGAGGTTGCGATTTGTCAAAACAAAACCAATCATTCACCCTTTCTATACTCCCTCGTTACTTTTGATCAGCATTTCTGCTTCCCTTTATGCTTTAAGGTTAATATCCACCGATCTTTATCGTGTTTTTTCGCTCTTCTGTGCTGTTTTCAGATTAAGAAACTCTTAAGAAAGAATGAGTATTGGAATTTCCTATACCATTAAGAAACTGGAGTACTCAACGTTGACTTTCATTTCTTATAGAAAAGAAGTGTATTTCAGTTAGTCTTTCTTGAATTTTTAATGCGAATCAACTTAATCCTTGATTACCCTTAAAATAGCATTGCATTGCTCTTCATCTTCTTGAATAAAGATGAGTTTCATTGGATACTACTCAATAAATCTATGTTTCTACAAAAAACGTTGCCATTTTGCAAAAATATAGGTATCTTTTTTGTCATTTTAAGGAATAGTGATGCACACAAAGCTATCTTTTTAAGATAAATCATCTATACAAGTAGGCAAGGTAATTTACTTCTTGGCTTGTATATACTCAAATATAAATAGATAAACAACAAATCCTGCAAGGGCTAAATAGCCCACGCAGCCAAACCAGCAGGGGTCTTTTTTAGCCCGCGTGCTTTTTATTCCCGGAGAGGCCTGCCATTTATATTCTTGGAAGGGCTTCAAAACATGACATTATCAGGTGTCCATCCCAATCAGATGACAAATTATACGGCCAGCATTCTAAAGGCATTTGAACCTTTACCAAACACAGTGTCCCTTCTCAAACAACTTTGATGGCCAGCACAAAATGGCTAAATAAAAAGACTGCGAAGAAACCTCACCTCTAATTTCTCGACATCTGCCTCGACATTTTTTTCAATTTTTTCAACATCTCTAGCATCGACATCTTGCACGATTTTTCCTCCCATCCTTCCTCTTGAAACAGATTTCCCACCACCAGACATTGTTCCTAAAAGAAAACGTCATAGGTCCATGATTTTTTTAGAGATCTCTTATGACCTTTAACAGCAGTGGGCAAACGCTACTGGTACGACGAGCCTGCATTGAAAATATTGGCAGAGAACATGAGATAAAGGCAGCTTTCAACGGCGAGCCAGCGAGAGTTTAGCAAAAGTATAAGAATACGCGCTGTATGCAGCCAAGTTGGCAAGCGAATTTTTATCAGATGTGATGATTTCACTCTCTTTATGACGTAGTTTATGGCTGTGGCCAACATTTCCTAATCTTAAAATAATTGGACTCCTAATTCTGGTACGAGCGAATTGCAGAGGATGTCGCTTGTAAGGGAAATATGAGTACAATTCTTTTAAGATTAGGAAAAGATGAATGACCCCGATCAAGCCCATGGATTTGCAGTACAGGGACAAAAACTTCTATATTACAATTCCCGTTTTCATTTAGATTTTTTGCATGCAATTACACCTGCAAACCTATAAACTTTTTAAAGTTGACTCAAAAGTTATCCAAAGAACCATCTAGCTACGAGCACGACTGGATACCTGGAAAAGTAAAACAAAGCTAGATTGGTTTTCAATTTGGATAGGCGCTTCATCTTATAAAACGCCAAATTGCTTAGCTTTGTAAAAGCATGGAACTGTTTCAAGCGGTTTTGTAACAACCGCTTGAAACGTGCCTTTCTCTCTTCGAAATGCACCATGGCTGCAACAGACATTGCAAATGATGTGAGAATGACTTCTCATTGGGTGTCTACACGAGCGTAACTGCTAGGGGTTGGCTTATACTTCACCACCAAAGCGGAGTGGCTTTTACTATCAAACTATATATTTTCATCGTGTTCTTTCGGAACCTTATTCTGACGTTTTATGCTCTGAGGAGTGTCCGACGAAAGAGCTTTTACTATGAAAGCCAAAATTATTATCCAAAGAAAAAACTGATCTGAAGTAAACCCAACCCGGGTCAGGTAAATCGGGCCTAGGACGACTCAAGATACAGCAAAATAAGCAAGTATTTACAGAAATAAAAATAGCCTCGCAGTCTCGTGCAGAAAAAAGTAAAGCTCATCTTCATTCGCAAAGAGGCCGAAACTTAATCACGTCTCTCGCAAAATTATTTCATTGCGCGGAAAGTTCCGCAATGTATTCGGCCATCTGCCATGACCAACAGGGATGACGTCAGTTGACAGTTGGGACAGCTTGCAATTCGACTTGTTTGTGGAAACTTTTGCAAAATTTCAAAAGCAGCAAAAATAGCAGGAAAGATCTTAAAAAAATAAAGCTGGAATCCTAGCCTGTTATACAGTAATGAAGTGTATTTTAAACATGTCACTATATTTAGCTGGTAACCTTCTCATTCATTTTGTCATTTAACAAGTCATATTTCAACGTGTTACTTGTTTGACTGTTCCTTGATAATGGTTTTATTTACATGGATAATGTTAAAAATAAAGCCTATAATGAAAGTTATTTGTTGGAAGCTTGTACTAACCAGATGCCTCAATGAGTTCACCTTTGACGGTCACTACCCGGTTTCTTTTGCCATCCTAAACAACAGAAGACAAAAACGTGACCATGGGCTGAACGGCAATATCCACTAAAAGATGAACTTTTGAACGAAACACTTGAAAATACGAAATTTTTAAAAAGAAATACGCCCCTCTCACAAAAGCCTTTTCAAATCAACATGGAAATAAACTCCTCCATCTAGTAAACGCATCCTCATTAAAATACACGGCAATCTGCAGTGTAGTTTTTATTTTTAAAAGAGTTTCTTTATCTCTGGTTACAATGTAAGCAAATAATAAGCACTTAAATGTCTTCTCAGCTTAAAGAAATTCTATAAAAATATCATGTAAATTAGAAGAGTTTCGTGATGTACAAATTTGATCATTTCTGATCAAGCAATATTTTCACGGAAAATAAATTTTGGGTATATTCCATTATTTTATTAAACAGCTCCTTCTTTTCATAAAAAGAAACAATTAACACCATTTGTTCGGGAAATATAGCATGCCATTGGAGGTTAACTAGTGAAAGTAATTTTTGTAGGGGATTCTTCCCAGAAATCTATAGTTTCGTTTACGACAACGACTTTAACAACCTGTCATTCGGTGAAAAGGACAAAAGGATCAAGGAAAAATGAGATACGACTGTTGCAGCTTATAAGGAGAATTTGCTAAACATAGAACAAACGTTTGTTAGCAGTTACAGTAGATGTCACCTTTCCGTAAGCAATTCGAGTGGCCTGCTCAAGGGTATTGGCAACCAAGGTGTTTCTGAGTGCGAAATAAAAGGCATTCTTGACTTTGGCATCATTGACTTTGATCAGGTCGAAGAGACGTGGAACATTTTCAGGCCTAGAAGTGGAAATTCGCATTAACAGATAAGGCAGACCTAGAAAAAGCTTGAAAGGAAGCAGATCAAGCAATCAAAATAGGTAGGGCTGATTGATTATAAATTAGGTATAGTAATTTCTAGGGCTAGAATGGTAGAAAACTGTACAGCCCACCCAACTTGAACTGTTTATTTTGCAAGCTAAAATTAGCATAGCTAGCGGTGTCTTTTAAAGTAGGGGCAAGATGACCTTGTGTCTATTCCTACTTTGAATGGCACAGTTCCATGTAATTGTTATTGTGGTTGTAAGTTGTATCAATGGTGATATAAAATAAACAATTTCCTACCATCCTCTAAGTAAAATTGTACTCTTTCGTTATACTTTTATTGCAATTTTCGTTTCGATAATTTAATGGAGCAGTATTTTCTGGATCACTGCTAAAATGGCTAAAATTCACAAAAATGATATTTCTTACGTTGTGATCTTAGTCTTTGCTTTCTCCCTCCATACCTCCATCTGTCATTCAAACATTGGAAAGTTACTTGTTGCAATTTTACATTTAAAGAATCAGGTTTAAATATAAATGGTATTAAGATCCTTTTTTACAATTTTACTCATCAAGATAGACCACGAACATTCCTAAAACTGTGAATTTTGATTATGACTATGATGATGATAATTGTTTACTGATATGCGATGATCTTGAAGATGATCTTGATCATGATAATGACTGAAGATGATTTTTATCAACAACTGTTTTTGATTACAATGATTACAACAACGACAACAACGGCGTCGAAGCACATTACCAAAAACTTCAAACCATTGAAGAAACGGAATTCAGCTGACCTTGTCAAGGCTGATAAACGTCGAGACGCCAACATTGTTCTTCTTCAGGAACTCAATGCACTTGGTTGCACAGTCGATGTCCTCAACAACAACATGATCCAACGGAGAGCAGGCGGTGCTCACTGCCACGTCATACTTTTCGTCAATAGCTCCCAGGTCCCCCTGGATAAAAACAGGAGTTTATTAAGAGCACTGTTTGCAGTTATAACAAACATGTAAAAACGATCAATGTAAGTAAACTGCACCAGGAATGTACTCGTTATTTTTTTAAATAAATAACGAGGTTTCGAGCATAACCCGTTATCAAGCATGTCATAACAAACATGTTACTTATAAAAATCAATTCAATCAATTCTTTGCTCAGAATAATTATCAGTCTCCACAACAGCTCAAAAGTGACGTTTTTTTGGGAGGGAGGGGAATTGTTTCCCCGTAATAGGAAACCAAGTTTATAGTGTCATTTCACTTTTAACGGTTTGAAAAACTTTGGGGCGGCACATTAAGGCGTGGCGTGTCTTTTGATAGATTTATTTCGTTTCGAACAAGGCTGAACTGGGGAAAAGAGCTAAATGAGGAACCAACGCAGTTTATGTTTTATATCCTGCTACAGGTAGGTATAAACCAGCATTTGGTCACTTCCAATGTTAGACAAGTACCCACTGCAAGTAATAATGATGTTCAAACTGCACGTACAAGTCGACCGTAAATTCCCGGCAGCTCTCCAGATTTCTTTGCCCCCATCAATGCAGATAAAACTGAATTTCTATAAAAAAAGTGATAAGGTATAATTCTCGTATCCACTAATTGTTTCTAGGTCTCGTATACGCTCGTTTAGTTGTTTTAAAGGTCAATAAGCAAATTAATTAAATAATTTTAAAGGATGACAAAAAGAAACGTAAAAGTAGCAGCTAGGGATTCTTGTAATGCACAGTTACAAAGACCAGGGCTTCAGAGTCACGTACTGTCAAGTTCCTAAGACTTTGAGGAAACAAAAATGAATTTTGTTGCAGGAAACCGATAATGCTCTCATTAGTTAGAGTTTTGAGTTATCATTTTAAACAGTTTGCATTATAATTCTTTTCTTAATTATTGCCAGGTTGAGTGCATCATAGTGGTTCATTGCTCAACCATCAAAACCCCAAGTTTATATTTAGACATTTTTTAACGATTATTGCTACAAGCTTTTCGTTAAAACTTCGAATTTTGTCTTCTTCGATGTGGTTACATTTCAATGGCGAGTGTGATTTTGACTCTTTTACAGTATCAATAATCTAATTTCTTCTTTTCACCTGCTTTTGGATGCATTCAAAGAACTTCTCACTTCTTCCAACTTTGCTTTTGAAGACTTCACCTTCAAGAAAAGAAATTTCGGTAAATATTAAAATCAAATTCTACAGTAACCTAACAAATATGAACATGGTACTGTCTACAATACTGTGAATCCATTTTCAAATTATGAAATAACCATGATATAAAAGAACCATCAAAAACAATAAGTTCAAAGTTACAAATTTAGCAAATAATTTGCTACTAAATTAATGCAGTTATTTTCGGCTGAATGAATTATTAATTTATGTAAAATTAAAAACCTTCGTTGCAAGACCCTCTTCTTCCTTTGTTACTTTCACAAGTTCCTTTTCCGTCGTTTTGCATTTCTTCTCCAGTTCAGGTACCTCCTTTGTCAATGCAGTTATTTCACTAAAAAAATTAAAATCAAAAATCACCAACGCAATCCTTAATTTTTCTGAAAGAACTTTTTCAAGGAAGTGCCTTCTATATTTTATTTCTTTGGCTGCAAATATCACAATTCTATTCATTCAAAAAGCCCTAAGGGAATGTTTCTTCAGTCTCTAAAGACCCTGTCAACTTTCCCAAGAGATCTTTGCCTTACCATCTCGGCTACTTTTATTGCAACCGACAGCTATACCTGTATGAATACCAAATAGTAACTCTGGGCAATGTTTATTTTACGATGGATTCTGTAGAATTTGATTTCACTAGGGGTTCTTGTGCTTAGCTAAATTGTTATATTCTTATTTGGGTGTCGATTGCCATGCTTTCATTCATGTATTATTACGTCTTTAAGTGCTGCTTTGATGCTTTTGGAATGCTCTTCCACGCTGTTGTCTTCTCCCGTCCCTTCATTCCCTTTGGTATGAAGCACTTGTACGCATGTGTTTTTTGTACGTATGTGTCTTTGGGGTTCCGGTTTATTTACATCGCAGGATTATCGGATCCTTAAGCAAGCCATGTTTCTCTTCCCCTTGCATACGTGGTACATCGGCAAACTGGTGAATTTTGAAAAGTGAACTTTTCCTGCCCATTCCCTGCCCAGAACATTAAATATCTTTGTAACTTGAGTTCGTTAAGTTACATCTAAGGTTTAGGGCTTTATATGGGTTAGGTGGAGCGATTTGTGCCGATGCACCAACAACCAACCGTCGCTTCCTATGATGATGGAATGTAGCCTCAAGACCTGATTTGATGAGGGATGTTGCAATGTCTTCCAGAGGAGCTATCTTATTCAATTCAAGGACATTCTTTGTGGATGTTTCTTCGCTGAGTAAGAAATCTAAGGACGTAAGACAAACCTCTTTCTGTTGTCAATTGTATTCGCGGCGTTTTTCATATTTTCTTCAGCAGCCTTCAATTGTTCTTTAAGGCTTTTGTGCTGACTTAGGTAGAGTTCTAACTCTCCTTTCGCCAGATCAAGCTGAGAGGTGAAAACAGATGGAATTATTAAAGGGAGCAAGCACAGAATGGTATCTCTTATAAACTGGTTGTGAAATGAGACAAAATATGCTACATTGAGACGTTTTTGTTCTAGAGATATGAATGGGAAACAGTTCTCCATGTATACAATGCAGGCCGCAAGATCGAAATAGGCAAAGAAAATCATAGTTTTTAATCGCAACATTGACCCAGAAAGAATAGCAGCGAAAAAGGAAAAAACGAAATGAAGGGAAAAAGGAAAGAAAGGAACGTAAAGAGGGTCTCGATAAATATCAAAAAGGAAAAACTAATTCCTGAAAAACAAAATACAAAATGAGCGGGTCGATGAAAAAGGGGCTAGGGGATGTCACAGCGGTGAATATCACATTGTGTTTCAAGCCTACACAATGGACAAAACAATATCTGAGTTACAACTTATTGCTTAAAAATGCTTTGGATATTATATATCATTACTTTAGACTTCGTTTCGTTTACAACTTTCTTCTTTTCCATCAGTTCATTCTCTTTTTCCTAAAAAAGTAAAAAGATAATTTTGTACTTCGAAATTTTGCCAAATTTAATGATCGCAACTTTTTAAAAACAGCTTAATAAAGGGAGGCTTGCGTTCTGTTTCAACAACAAACATTGTCACGTCACTGGTAAAGATTGTTAGATGGAACTGTACGGTGAAAGCCTTGATATGTCAAAAAAATGTGGACTAAAGAAGTATTTAGCAAACCTCTTTCTCAGCCTGCATGCCCTCGGTTTCGTCCTTTAAACCTAAAAGGATCAATCTTTAAAAAGCAAGAAGGAAGTTTCACGTGAGCTTCAAAAGTACAAGAGTGAAATCTAGTCAGACTTTTTGTGATAAATGTCACCCTGGCCCTTAAATGCGCCGTCGTTTCTCACCAAAAGCGTTTGTTACCAAAAGGCCACAATCATTGATCGTATATTAGTTAGGCCAGTGGCTGTAGATACACCGAATAGCCTTGTTCTCCGGCACAGTAGCAAGGCATCATTTTCAACTTTTTCTTTATGCTATCGTGCTTATTCAAAATAATGAAGTGATATTTTTAAATCGGAAAGAGTTTTGTTTATTAACTGCTAAAATTATACGTGATCCCTTATTCTGTAAGCTTCACTCTTTATAACCTCAATATTTAACATTGCCTTATTTTATTAATTGGAAAACTATCAAAATACTACAGACGAATTACCTGCCATTATTTCGTTCAATTTTTCTTCTTTCTTGGACTTTTCAGCCTAGTAACACAGAAGCTTAAAAAGTAATTCAAGTTCATAGACATTTTTCTGAAATTTAAAAAATTCAAAATCTGAAGTTTTTTGCGAACATAAAGGTAACTACAAAAGAAAACCCGGTTGCTGTTAAAATACCACTTTGCCATTGGCAACCTGCAACCTGGCTTTAAAATGCTCCACTACGTCAGCTACCAAAAAAAGGGAAAACACGGATACGCAGTGAAGGGGATGGTTAGATTTGAATTGAGTGGGAATAATGCATCAGTGTCATATAACAGGTAGAAATTATAGATAAAATGAGAAACAATAGGCGATACCAATTATGGCAAACATCCAAGGGTTAATGCTTTGCTAGCAATCTTTCATTGCGAATGATGAATTAACTAAGGGAAAAAGAAAACACTTTAAAAACTGATCAAAGACATATGAAACCAACTTGAAAAATAACCTCTCTTTCATGTTCTCACCTCTAACTCGACCTGCGCCTTTTTCAGCCTCTCGATTTCAGCATTGTTCCTTTCGGGCTCCGTAGTTAGATCGCTAAGCTAGAATGGATGAATCAAAAATCACAAAATTGCAAAGTCAACAGCAAAAATGTCGAATATAACCCTTTCCTGCGTGTGGGTTTTTCTACGGAAATATAGAATCAGAATGAAAAATGATTACTTTTTCTTTCTCTTTTTCCAAAGCTTTACGCAGTTTCTTGGCTTCACGATCCCGATGAACTTTGTCCTGCAAGATAGCAAACGAAATTCACAAAGAAATTATAATGAGAAAAACTTTATTGATGCTATGAAAGAAGTCAAACATTTGTTGAATGTAAGTCTTGGCTTGTTCACATAAAAACGTTAATGTTTGTTAATTGATCGGATGCTTACGAGCTTGTCGAAGGAATACGAGCAGATTTTGGAATTATTCAAGAGGATCTTATAATAAAACTATAGGCTATGATTAAGCGTATCGTATAATTATGGTTATAACATTGCCTGTAGAATAATTTCACAGCCGCAGACACGGTACTAATGTGCCCTTGTGAGCAAAACAATGGAAGCTGCAATGGGCAAGGGATTCAAGGATTCTATTGACCGCAAAGTTTTCTTGAGGCCAATTTGGATACCATTTTGCTTAGTAAAGAAATGCGAATACCCTCTACTGAAACTTTTGGCCAAAAATGATTTGAATCGAGTGCTGTGGAATAACTGGAGTACTGCAGCAAGAAACTGAAGCAGCATTGACAAGTTATCGTCCAATTTTGAACTAATTTGAATCAATTTTTCAAATTCAAGTTTTAATCTGGTGATGATTTACCCTACAGAACGATCACTAATTTGATTTAATGTGATTTGATGTGATTTGATGTGATAAATATGATATTGTATGATGATGACAAATAGACAGCTTGCACTGTTTAGGCATTGATTGTTTAATACCAATAATCTTTTGATTGAAGCTTACATTTCGTAAAGCGGCATCCTTATTTTCGAACTCGGTGAATGCTTGTTGGCACTTTTCGGCAATATTCGTCAGTTTCTCGTACTCTCTACGACAAGAAATGTAGGTAACTAGAATAGGTGTTCCTTTGTTTATCAAAGACTAATGATCGCATTAAGGATGAAACTGGGAGTAGCAACTTAGAACCGTTCTGTTGTATGCACCAAAAGCGAACTATTTAAGGTAAACCTTTTTAAATATCTCTTCAATAAATGGGTAGAAGTCTTGGCAGAGTTCTTCAATCATCAAGAAGTTTTTCGAATTTTTGACTTACAGAAAATGGCGAAGGGAGTGAGATTAAGTTTAAGTTTTCAACGTTCAATTAACTTGCTGTCAAATTTCAACCAAAGTTCCTTTGTTTGCTGTTATCAATTGAATTCGATCAATTAAAACAATCCGGATGCAACTTATATAAATCCTGTGGGATAATCAGGATCAAGTGGGTTAAATTTTTACCTTGATATTTTCTTCCGTCCTTTGCCTTTCTCTTTTACTTGATCTGAAAAGAAGAATAAATGATAAAAATTAAGTTTCTAAATTAACTCTTAATCAACAAAGAAATTTAATTAGAAAAATCCCATGATTGGAAATTGCAGAATCTGCAATCGCTATATAATGGCATTCGCAATGGCATCTCAAAGGTGAAATATTCGTTTCAAGACTGCTTGAACAAAAGCATATGTAGATAAGAACCATTTCAAAGCCAGTTAAAACAACTTAACGTTATTATACAACAATCTGAAACCCTCAATATTTCTAAGTATTTTTAAGCACATCCGTTTTTAAGAAAACACATCTGCGATGTTCGCAAATCGGACGGTGAAGCTTTAAATTTAGAACAAGCTCCTAATTGCAGAGCACGTCACTAGCGTGTTGTGCAGAGTTGTTGTTACTTGAAGGATGGAGTTCATTATATAAATATTGATGCTTCCGTTTAAATTTTAGCTTGCAGCGTGACTCAAATTAAAATCATATCAGTTCTCCGGTTGGCAATCATCTCTTTGGTAAGACCAAAGAAAAAACAAGGATTTCTTACCAGAGATTTCTTTAAACGTGGCTTGAATGTCATCCAGTTGTTTTTTAACTTCATCCTTCTTCTTTCCAGCTTTTTCGATGTTTAATTTACATTCGTATCTGCAAGAAACCCAAACAGAAAACAAAATGTAATAGCATTAGAGAATGGCTGGTACACTGCAATGAGAGCTCTTAAGGAATTGTATCTATAAACATAACATGTTGGCTGTACCCTCACGAGGCATCAAAACCGAAACATTCTGAAAGCATTTTAGCTTACCTTGAATGACATTTATTGATTAAATATGCATATTGATTAATATAAGAAAGCCTTTCTTGTAATACAAAAAAAGAAGAATTGTATTCATAAAAAAATCCTTAAGTGAGATCTTGGTATGTTATCATTGGTATCATTGAATAGGAATTTTTCTCCTGTATTTAACTAAAGGAGGGCAGATGAGCTATGACTCCAGGGCTCAACGACTTGGGGTGGAAGAACTCCTGGAAAGAGGGATGGTGTCCCTTCAAAAACACTGTAGAGGTGGTTCTGGGGGCCCATCTCTTAGTTTTAGCCCCTTAGTTTTATCTATGACCATGACAACAAACCAAAACTCAGATCTTGGGATAGTTGGAGAGTCATGGTAGCCAACCCTCTGATAGAAGATGGTACCTGATGATGATGATTTAACTAAAACATTGAAATGAAGGAAAACAACAGATTTGTGAATCAAACTTTGGTCACAATTTATAATATTTAAGCTGAAAAGGACAAATTTGTCAATTTATGTAAGGACATTCCAAGTGGGCAATAAAAGTTGCAATGTGTAATATATTGCAAAAATTTCAATGCTTACGTACAAGTATTTTTGATACAAGCAGTTGTGCAGTTTTGTTATTTCATTTTCTGAAGACAAAAATTGCACTGCCTCTTCTTTGGCACCTTCTAATTCATCTTTCTCCTTTTCCACAACTTTCACTCTTTCAAGCTGAAAAATTGGTTTCAAAATGATATGCTTATTGGCACGATAAGTTGCATCATTAGTTCCATAACTTAAGAACAATGTTGTTGCCACCAGCAGTGGTTTACTTTCTCAGTTTCTTAACTTGCAAGAAAAAGGCCCACCCTAAAATTAGATTTGTAAAATAGAGACAGAATGAGGAATGTTGAGCAATGTTATGTACTAATGTATAAATGCTTCAACATGCCAATTGATAACTGGTACAGCTTTTTAATGCCTTGACACTACAGCATTTAAAAGAAACATATTCTACCTTTTCTTTCCTTTTCTCACTGAGATCTTCAACCTCCTTGGCAAGTTGTTCAATCGGCTCTTTGAAGCGACTAGTACCAATAATATCCTCAAGGTATTCCAGCATGCCTTCATCATGCTCAGTCTCTGCTTTAGGCTTCATCATCGCAATCTGCTCAACTTCACCCTAAAGGCAGCAAACTTTTTGAGTTACATCATCAAGTACAATCTCTGGGACAAAATGTCATAATAAAATGCTACAAGCTAATTTGCTCCATACATACCCAAAATATACTTTCATATGATACATGTTATTTCAACTATTGAACTTTTCCATAGTTTTAATAATACAATTAAACTCACTTTATTGCTTACTGAGTGCAAGGAAACAATAAGTTGGGCATTTATTCCAAAACAGTGGCAGCAGAAAGCTAACTGAAGTAATAAGAAGGTTAATATATTTATCAATTATATGCAAAAATTGATTAGAAGCTGATTAACTGACCTGTAGAATTAAAAATCTGTTATGATCAAGATCAATGCCACTTTGTCTGAGCAGAGTACCAACTTCTTTAAATGTTTTCTTTTTGCCATCAACATAATAGTCTGAGGAGCCATCTTTTCTTGCTGTCCGTGACACTACAAATTGGCTGTTAGGGACTATCTCAAACTCATCACCAGGCTGAAATTTGATAATATAAAGTAATTTGACATCATAAAGATATAATTTTTCTAAACAGGAAACGGAGGGTTGCAGGCTTGACAGTGAATGAATTTCCAATGAAGTTTTTACCGTCTGTGGCATGAAAAATGTATTGTAGTTTAAAAAAAGCTTACTTTTAAATAGAAATAAGTATATAATAAAATAAGATATAAGTAAATTTAAATACAAAGCTTGTAGATATAACATAAGACATAACTAATATTGACCAAAAATGGTTTTAAAAATTGCTATTGTGCACTCAAATAATCTGAAAATTTACCAAACCAAAAATGGTGCAGCCATTCACACTTGTGGCCATTGAATCTATCATTACAAATTAGTATTATCACATGTGCAATGCTTAACTCTCTGATGTGCTGCAAAATATCTTCACCTATTCACAATAGATTCTTCAGAACATGATTACTTCTTTTCTCAATTTCTTTAAAAAAGCTATATATATGCACTTCCTGAGTTGAGAGTTTGGGATTAGATGTCAGTACTTTCTAGACAATAAATATGGAGACATGTAAGTGTCAAACTTTGGTGACAAAGAAGAGCAAGTACCTACCAAATCAACAATCATTTGGAAGTGAACACTAACTGTGCAGCTTTGTACATTTGAATGCTGATCGGAGTTGTGGATAAGCAATGACAGCTTTTTGGATCTAATTCTTTTGGATCGGTATCCAAAGACAAACAGCATAGCATCAATGACATTTGATTTGCCACTCCCATTTGGTCCAACAATAGAAGAAAAACTCTGTGGTTAAAAATGGAAAAAACCTTTGAAATGAAAAGGTTTATGATTCGAAAAAGGAAAAAGGAGTTTCAAAATTATACTATAACCAATGTGTGCCAAGGTTTGAAAACATGTATGCCAGGACTGGAAACTTTGTCTCTTGCTTAAACTAGTTTACTTTGAATGTTTGGGACTAGGCGTCTGAAGTCATACACTCTTAGTCATTTTAGAGTTGATAATGCTCAATGCTATTATCTAGGGATTTTAAGTGGCCACTATGAAAAAGTGTGCAGATGTGAGCATGGGCAATATATATGAGGCAGGCAACAAAGTTTCCAGTCTGGCAGGAATGATTATGTCTACATGTCAGCGCCGCCGGATGCAGGTTTGAACAGGGGGGGGGGGGGGGGCCAAAACGAATAAAAAGGGCACAAATATTTTTTCCTGAAACATTAGTAAGTGCCAAAAATGGTACAGATTTCACGGTAATTTAGTCATTTATAATATAATGATACACGTTGGATATAGTGAAATTTATCTTCACTGAAAGCAGACATGGCTATGGACTCCATTTAGAGACCACGGACTCTTAATCATAATTAATTGTATAGCTTCCCATCTCATGGCCTCCAAAGTTTTTGGAGAGTGTAAATCTCTCTTCCATGTATGATTTATACTTCTATTACAATACGCTGTACTTATTCTCTTTATATTTTGCATTGTAAATGGATTTGGTCCCAGGTATAAAGCAGGAACACATCTTTCTTTCATACTTGTGGCAGGCGCATTATACACAACAAATGTTCAGATTTATTGCAACATTCTAACGAATCCAACCCAAAATATGAACTGAATGGAATTTTTGAATTCTTAGTCTCTATATACTTCAAAGCGAGTTCCACTCCCTATCTCTTTCTAAACAAAGTTTCAGCCCCATTCAAATAATGATTTTAATTTTCTTACTTATATATTTAAACAATTTAGTCCCCCTTGGTATTTGCACCCTCCCATCCCCACTTAAACACAAATTTGTTCGCCTCCATGGAATATTTTTTAAAAGCTACAAATCTTATGGTTAAGTCATCTTCACACAATCGGCTGAAGGTGCGGGCACATTCTTCACTGCCATAGCAAATTCAATTTGTAACATTGACTAGGTTTATCTCATCAGGTTTAACCCTCCTTAAAATTGATCCCGGGTGGCTCAGTCAGTTTGTCAAACGAATAACATGTGAGTTCCGAAATTTTGGAAAAAGCTAGAATTCTGGGACATAGATTCTTGAAAATAGGGTTGCATTCTTGATCAGTCAGAGGAAGCACAAAAAGGGCAGGAATTTACTGTTATGATGTTGCAGATAATTTTTTAGGTAAATCAATGGCATATTGAAGTACAACAAATTTTGCAGTACATCTAGTCTTGTGTATTGTTCTAATCCTAGATAAGAAATTCAAGTCTTTGTTTAAGTCTTTGTTAGCATGTACTCATTGCAAGGACATAACTTTTTCATTTCTTCATAAAAATATTGAACACAATGTTGTAAAGCAAGCAATATGTTGCAGCTATAATTTAACAGATGTCTGATTTTGTTAATAAATATGTCAAGAACCATAAGGGATTGTTGTTAAAATCAAATTTAGTGAACTCTGCTTTTTAACTTGCCTAGACATAAGTTTAAGAAAAAGAATGGCTCTAACATGCTCATTGAAGAGCAGAGTTCACTAAAGTTGATTTTAACAAAGATTCCTGCTCAAGCTTGAATATTCTCAGTGAAAAGAATTACACAATTTTGGCAAAGGCACAGAATAGGGTACATTTTACTCAACCCAAAATCAGAGATAGGAGTCCAGTTTTTTACTTTCAAGAACACACACGATATACGTTGGACCAACTGACTGTGCCCACCGGGGACTTGATGGCCTTTCACTAATGATTTTGTTGCTGTAGACATACTAAGGAAGTTTTCTCGCAAAACTGGCAGTTTCCTTCGCAGTTGATATTGTTCATCACAGGACCTTGCGCTTTTTGCATCAAGACCAAGTAAAAATTTCAGGAATTTTCAGTGAATGGTCCTCTAACAACGTCCAGAGTTATGTTATTTTACTTAGTTTCTAAAGGCAGAATATATGGCAGTGAAAAAATACATGCAATATATTTTTCGAAAAGGGGCACTTTATACTTTATATGTTTATACTTTTTGCAAACAGGGGGCCTGTGCCCCCATGGCCCCCCCTGGCTCCGGCGGCCCTGCATGTAGCTGTGACCAATAGCTCACTATCAGCAGTGATCTGCAAGTGAAGGCATTTGTGCTGCGAGCAACAATGCTCATGCATACATGATTATATTAAAAACATGACTTGATTGACTGTGTGGGTCCAGCCAGCAAAACTGACTAGTGGTGATTATACAAAACAGAATTCATAATCAAAACAACATGATAGCTTTCTTTTCCAGGTGTACCCAACAAAAGTTTTCCTTTTTAATTTTTGGTGAAAGCTCAAGAAGGTATTGCGTACATTCAACACCATCCATTATCTGAGGTCAGAAATTAACATTTATAAGCTATAATTGGGATTGTCTTATTACAAAATTAATTAAAATTCAACATCTGGAGTCTGTTGACTAAAATCAGAAAAAAGGAATTTTAATTCAATCATCCAAAATGCATCATCTGCAATCACGGAGATTTCACAATGTCCTTTTGCTGGCTGTTACACTGGCTTTTGAAATTTCAAATTTCAAATAGCTGAAAATATAGGAAGAGTCTCGGCTTCAAACGCATTTCAAACAATGTTACCGCTCAGGCTCCTGGCAAAAAACAGTCATCGTGTATGCCATCAACTTACCTTGTGAAATGGGCCTAAAACTTGTTTTCCAGCATATGATTTGAAAAACTCATTGACAATATGTGTGATCACAAGCCTTTGTTTGCTTTCTTGTTGTATTTTCGGGGCTTCATTCTCTTTAGGCGGTGTTTTGTTCTGATCATCAATTCCGTTTTCGGACGACATACTGTTATCCGACGCCGCCATTTTCAGTATTCCAAATTCTTGGCGCCAAATGTGCATGCAAAAATATAACAGACTGGAAACAAATGACGTCACAGCAAGGGAAATCTCGAGCCATAACAACATGACAACACCTCACCAAAAAAACTCCCCAAAGAAAACCAAATTTGTTAAATAAACGCCAATTTCCCACAAATGTCTAGGGCAATTATTAGAAATATTGAAAAAGGTGAGTTTTCGTATTTTATGTCGTTTTTATAAGCAATGTCGAGGATGACATCGTCATAAAATCAGTCGATGTCCCGCATTGCCCTTGTCGACCATATCTAAAACCGTCATATCTTATGATGACAACGAGAAATTGGATCATTTTCAAATGGCAGGTGGAGGAGATTCTATCAACTGAGTTTGATTTGGATATAGACGTGGATACTTTTTTCAGAAGTTGATAAATATTTGTATTTTTCAGATTTAAAGTGGGTTGACTTAGAAGAAATTTATGCCCGAAACTCCCTCTCTGATAAACGCCCTCCTCCCCAATACTTGCCCCCTTAAGCGAAAAATGTAAATTAATGCCTGAGTGTTCAATAGATCAAATACGTTAAGTACAAGATTCTGATACTTTGAGCTGCAAATACCCTGAATTTCCTCTTTCATTGTCCTGCTTGAGGGGGCAGAAAGGAACAGACCAATCGAATTTGAAGCGAAAAGACTCCAAAAGTAATCTCTTCAACATTTAGATAATGAAATAGTGTAGTATTTGTCATCGCTTCCCAGCATTATAATCAGGCGTCTTTAGACGAGAAAATGTCGCAGAGGTTTCTTTATAAAACAAGCTGTATATAAAGAGCCTAATTTGCAGAATAAGCAGCTGTTCCAAGTTAAAAGTGTTGGTACAAACTATTATTGTCAGTTGTATTCCCCAGTCCTTTTTGTATGCAATCTAAATTCTGTGCTATAGCAAACTCGCTAGAAACAAACCTATTTTGCATTTATAACTTGATAAATCATTTGCGCCTCACGGGTTCACTAATAAATTCAGTAATTTGCAAGGATCTGTAGGTTTATGTCGGATTTTAAGAGGAAATATGTGTATTTTATAAATATAGGCTTAAAATTAGCTAGAAAACACACTATCCGAAAATGAACACTGCAGTTTAAGGAGAAAGAGCTCTGTAATATAACAATTTATTTTAACGATATTTTATCCTGACAAGGCCACAGTTTACAGGCTGCTAGATGGACTCCTATGAAATGCTTTCGGTGAAGAGTCGATAAAAATGTAGAAAATAAAAAACACCACAAAGCGACGAGAACAAACAACAATAAGCACAAGCAAATTAATATTATCTAATATTACGCCCCGGCATCCGTGGCTTCATCAGAGCAAAAGTGATATTTACCATTTTAAATGTGAATGCCTGATTTGATGAGTTAAAATGGTTAAAAGAATGCGATTCAATGAATGAAAACCGATTACAGTGTTTCCGGTACCTTTGGCTGTTTTTACTGTGAGTACCATTCTATATGAGTTCAATGTTCTGGTAAAATGCATTTTCATTATAAAGAATTGTCAACGAACGCATTCTTGCCAAATGAAACCACAATTGAAAGTAGTCAATGAAGAAAAAAACAGGGTGTCAGTCAGACAGTAGCATATATCACCAAGAAACTAATTAAACATATTTAGGTTACTGTGAATATGAATATGGCTAACATTACGTCATTGGAAATGATACAATCTTAAGAAAGCAAATATACACAAGGCGTGATGATGGTCTTATGCTTAGGGACATGGACTACAGATCCTAGGGTTTAGCTCTAAGCCCCTGGCATGACCAGACTTTTACTGAGTAGGAAGGAATCGCCAGTCTGTAATGTGGTCAAGTTGAGTGAAAAACAAGGACACTGCTTGATAAACACAGCTTCTATATGTTATTATTAAAACTATATTTGAAAGTTACGAAGTAAAAATCATAAATATGCAATTATATGAAGCATCTACATTATTGTTTACTCAAATTACCATAGAACTTTCGACTGTTCATCTATTCATACCTGTATAATAAGCAAGGTGCATTTAAAGCTTAGAAACCAGCAAATGTGCTTTTTGCATACCTGTAGAGCCTGTTATGAACAAATGTTATACCAAACGAAGCAAAAAGCTCATGTTTTCATATTCTACGAAAATTAAAATGATTTTTGATAATCGTAAACAACGAAAACTGAGTAGCTCAAAGTAAAAATGATGCCAAACCTTTCATATCAAAATCAAATAAACTCTGCAGTGAACAGCAGTAAACAGTGACGCAGATCGTTTCAATTTGTTACCTTTGTTGCTTCTATACTTTCCAGAAATAGCATTTTAGAAATAACTTACTTTTGATACAAGTTAGCTTTCAATTTTAGTCTTGAAACTTCACTTGTAATTTGTCGACTTTGATTAGCTGAAACGTACAGATGTCTCTCCCTGTTTCCGTAGCAACATTATCTTCTACTTTCCTTATCATTAATAGCCATTTTATTCTGCCAAGCTGCAGATGTTACCAGGGGTGGACATAAAAGTTGACGGTCGCACATTAACATTACCCTGTAGGCGGTCTAGGGGGCTTCCCTCACGGTCAAGGGCGGAGCCATGAATGAGGCCCAGACCCCTACCCTGGACCAGGGCAACTAAGTCTAACATTAAAGGCAAAAAACCCTAAAGTTTACTGTGTCCATTATTTCAACCACTATAAATAAAAATAATAATTCACCTTGCTTAAGAAAGTCATCTTGATTTTTGGTCTAAAATATTATTTTCATGCCTTGTAAGCGTTTACTTTCTAACTGCGATTTGTCCCGCTAAGCAAGACTGATACACTTTGATCGATTAAACTCGATTAGACTGATACACTTTGATCAATTTGATTCAAGCTAATGCTGACGGAAGGAAAGATTCTAATTGGGGTCTAATATTACACATGTAGAACTTAAGATCATTCCTGTCGCTCAAAAAAACTTTCGCTGCCAAGCAAAAACTTCACCGTGGTCAGGACATTTCAAAATCACAAGTTGTGTGAACAAGAAATTTTGTGGACAATATTCTATAGTATAGACACCTAATGGAACAATCAGTGGTCAACAACATTCATCGAAGAAGGACCTTTGTTCCCAAGCACTTTAATGATTTTGTCAGAACCGACAATGATATTTGTTCCCACTAACTCTAGCCACCGCCCTCTCCCCTACCCCTACAAAAACTTCACTTTAAACTTTGCCTGCATTGAACATGGGGTGTTTGCCACCCCTACTCACCACGCCTGACTACGGGCTTGTGCGAGTGGTGACGGGACTGGGAAATATCTCAAAGTTTAGCCAGCTTTGAAATGTTCAAAGTGTTTAGTCAAACATTTTGTCCTTTTAAAGGTTTCCGAGCAAATCCAACACGCAGTTGAAAGAAAATGTCATGAGATTCATAAGTTTACACTCCCTGTGCACCTCTTCCGTATAGATTAAGAATTGGGATTCTTCTCCTTCACAACTTCCAACCACATCCACTTTCTTCCCATTCCAGCAGTTGTGCGGCACAGTAATCTAACATAATGTTTACAGACTTTTCGTGGCGCACAAATATGTGAAAACTTGATCCTTGATTGGTGAGATTTGGTAAAATATTTGCATAACAAAGTGCCCTGCATATTTTTGCGGCGCGGGCGATATGCTTAAAAATCATACTGTTCACGGTCTAGGATGGTCTTTGAATTTCTTCTATATTGAATGAAATCGTAGCATTGGGTGTGAGATGTTTATTGTGTAAAGAAGTTAAATGTATTCACTGTAAGGAGGAAAATAAAATATTGTGGTAAAAATGATGGCTTAATTTTAATGACTGAAGACTTAAACTAAATTCTGGAAATCTGATGATCTTCCGTGAAAACATTGGTTTTTACAGTAAACACTAGATATATACTTCAGCTGATAGAAATATTATTGAAGGAAAACTCCAGAAAGTTTTGTCCGTTCATGCCTGCAAATATTTGCTCATGTCTGTTCACTGTTGTCTCTTGAAAACACGAAATTTTCAAAATTGCTCCACTTATCTTCCTCACCTAGTCTAAGGTTGGGAAGTTTTTCATAGTTTGTTTTGCCAGCGTTGCAGCTGACTAAACAAAAACCGTTGTCATAAAGCTGTTCAAATGCTTGATGCAGATTGCTGTGCGTCAGGTAAAACCGGCATGTGTAGCCATTGGATTCTAAGTTAGGGTCTCTTGAATCATTGAGTGTTCCTTTGAACACTGACTTGCAAAGGCCAACGTGCCCAGCAACAAGAATCCTAGGCGTTTTGCGGAAAGCTACATCAACAACTTCCCGAGCTCCAAACGCGAATGTGCTGCGAATACTTACCATTATAAAGTTTGCCTGCCTGTATACAGTTTTTCCAAAGAAACTGCTGTTTGTAAAAGTTTTGAGATCCTTTAACAGTCCGTTCAACTTGAAATAGCGCGCTTCTTGTTCCAGCCTATCGAACTCGTTAAACCGTTCAGGAAGTAGTAGCTGGCCGCTTCTTAAGTAATCAAGAATATGTGCAAATAAAATGCCGTCACGGTCAATAAAAAGGCGTCCCTCCAAATCACGCTGAAGCCGCACGCTGCCATTAAACATGGTCGCCAAGAAAGATCGCCTGTCCGTTCTTAGTGTGTCGAGTGATGTCAAATACAGCTTTCCACCAACATTGATTTCTATTTTCTCCTTCCCTGTATCCACTCGAGATGAACAAAGATAACTCATTGCGCACAAATATTGCTTTGATTATAACCGAGGCAATAAATCATATGAGAACTGCAATTTGAAGTATCCGATTTCTTTTAATAATGTAGACAGCAAATAAATAACAGTGCTTTGATACCTCCACTTAGCCACAATGCACTGGTGTTGCTGACAACAGGTGCTCTAGTCATCTGGCTTTTACACCATCTGAAAACATAGAAACTTTGTCATTGAAATGGACGGGAAAAGACCTGTTACTTTACCATATCTGTTTTACATGGAAAGTATGCTGGTGAGATATTATCAATTCATCTGCATTTGCTAAAGAAAATAACACAACTATCAAAAGAATGACTACCAATTTGAAAAGTAATAAAAGCAACGAGGAAGCAAGAAAGCTGTTTTATATTCGAAGACATTAAGACTTTCTGATCAGAATCTCTTCAAGAACTTATAAATAAGGAGGCATCCCCTCAGCCTCTATCAATACCCTGCTGTTGTAATCACGGCTATAGATCTTGCAAACAGAAATTGAGATTGTTCATTCGGATGAGCATCAAACATTTATGAAGAAATTGTTTCAGCAATTTCTTGGGTTTTGAGTTTTAAAGACATCCAAAAATGAGAATGATTTGCTAATTCAGAAATGCTAAAAACTATGACGTTGACAGGATGACTGCAAAAAGCTTTTTCTGAAAAATGTTACAATTTAGGCAATTGGCACATGCTAGTAAAATTCATTTACGGCTGCCTGATAGAGAACAATTGCTGCTTTTAATCTGATTCAAATATGTCCTTTAAGATGAAAAAATTAGCAGCGACAAAAATGGAAGTAAGGATGGCCTTCTAGCCATTACATGATGAACTAAAAGTATTATGTTTTCCTTAAAAGGTAAAAATAGGGCAAACAATTTTAAGAATTCAAATTGTGATGAAAATTCTACCTACACGAAGCTGGCTCAAGACGATCTGATCTTGATTGTAAGAGATTCAAATTCACTTTGTCAAAGGCATTCAGTTGAGCTTTTGCCGTCCTTGGTAGCTGACACGTTGCAAACTTGTGCCAAATTGAACCTAGCAGCACATTCTGAAGCGTAACAACAGTGGATCCACTTTAAACCAGATGTGCACAGCCACTCAGTACCCTTGCCAGTCTATCTAGCAGGTTGAGAAAATGTACCGACAAAATCATTGGCGGAACTCTGTCATAAAAGTTCGACTGCTTTTCAATAGTAGCGGGACTCAATGTTCTACTTTTTAATTTCCTATTCAAATGGTATACAAAAATACGAAAATTTGTTCATGTCAATTCAATTAAAGTGTTAATTTTTCATGAAATCCAAACACTAGGTAATCCCTAGACATAAAGCCACCTGCAATTTTATTTTACGTTGCCTTCTGCTGAAGCTGTTAAAACACACTATGCTAATAAAGAACCAGTCGGTAGTAACTAATTACAACATTTTTTTGCTTTTATCTTCCAAAAGTTGATTTTAGAGTGATGGTTTATTGAGGTTTGTAAAAACCACCCGCTGTAATCAAACTAGACATGAAAATACATCGAGCCGAGAGCTACTAATTATAACAAAGTATTAATTGTTTTTTGAGCCAGGAATTAGCAATAAAAATAGCAATCAATGAGTACAGGTTTCTTGTTGTAAAACAAAATTAGTGTTATAGCAAGCTTTTGAATTTAGAGAGCCTGCCATCTTGCTTCGAATATAGCTTTTAGGGTGCCCAAGCTACTAGGTAAATGTACTAGTTTTAGAATTTCTATTGTGTAGACAGAAATAGTTCGTTTTCACCTTAAGACTCGACGAGTATAACATTCTCATCAATAGGTAAACGGCACTGATTGGTCAACCTATACAGTCATGTGTTCGCGTTTATGATTGGCCTATTTCGATCTACAACTGATTACTTATTTCCTAGCGTAGAGTTTTCGATCTATGTTCTGACGTTTTAAACTCTGAAGAGTGTCAGACGAAAGGCTTTAGTATACTTAAATTTTAATATATTTCAATACAAATCAATATTACTTCTGCAGAAACTAGAAGAAACCTCCTTGTTAAAGTACCAACATTAACAACATGCCATCACAATATCATCACAATTAAAACTTTTCTTGCAATGCTGCTGTTTCACTTCTTTCAATTTAACTTTCTCAGAAGATAACACAAAGACAAAAGTCACATAGATCCGTATTGGTTCTCCTTCGCAACGGACAGTAAAGTCTGCACACAGGCTAGAGTTACACAATATATATTATGTTTGCTTATGTTTGCAAATTTATATGTTTTATGCTATATTTGGGACGCTAATACAGCTAAATCTTTTTAACGAGCAGGTACCGATTTTGCATCACTGTTAAGAAAAGTCAAAAATAATATGAATAACCAGGACGTATCAATTTCTGAATTGAGAAACCTGCTAAAAACTTCGTTACCTTTTGAACAGTTTTCTAGAAAGAGCCTTTTGCATTGTGTAACATTCGGGGTTCTTCTGCCAACGGTCAAAATCGATAAGCCAGTGAACGGGTGTGCCAACGGGCCAAGGACCCGAATACGTAGCGCGCAAAATGTACAAAGACTAAAATGTGTTCAACACGCTAATAAGATATACGGAATCAAATTCACAAACAATACTAACGTCGAAAATCGGGAAAATTGTAATTTATTTTTTCTGTTGGCTTTAATTAGTTTAATTGTAACACTACATGTTGACAGACAAATACATTTCTATGAAAAGGCACACAACGGGATTTAACAGGACATGTGCCTTTAATACGCAATCGAAACATTACTAATGCGAATATTCCCAAATGATGTTCCCAAAAATTCCCAAAAAAAACACCAGAAAGGAGAACGTCGGGGAGAGGCAACCATTGAATGCTGGCCTTTTGAAGGACTCCAAACGCGAAAGTTGTAGATTGTGTTAAGCTTATTAAAGAAACCGCTAAGGTCCAGCAGTGAATTATCTTCTCATAAAAGCGGCTGGCTTTCGAAACTATGATAGGCTTCTCAAAAAAATTCTAGCACACCAGAAGCCATGACATGCATCGCTTCGAAACAAGGCCGCAGGAACAAGTGGAATGCCCTTTCAAAATGTATGCTCCCCAGTACATCCACGCTCACTTTTTTATGCTTGAGAAAACGAATACTGGATCTTACTGTTCGAAATATACCGGATACCTGATGTAGAGGATGGTGACGTCATAAACTTATGATTAAGCCTTGCAATAACGTTTAAAAGTAAGTACAATGAAAATTCTGTACACTCTACATCCTTCAAAAGCACTGAATATGTTCTATGCGAAAAAGAACTTGTTTGACGATAATAGTTGCGAGAAAACAATTTAGGCGGTTCAAAGTAAATTTATAGCAGATTAAAGCTAGTTACAGCTGAGAGATGACTGGGATTAAATGCAAGAAGTCCTGAGAAAAGACATATGCTAGCCAATGTTCATACCTCCCTTGGAAAACTGACGATTTTTTCAACAAAAGCGGAAGGTTTTGAAAGCATAGAAGTATTATCCGGTGTACAAATGAACACTTTTCTTGACGCCAAGGAAAATTCTTATCTTTAAAAAATTGCTTCATATCATATTTAATTTGAACCATCTGCATCTGCAAAACACCATCCTCGGTCAATTGAATCTCGCCTCACCTGCAAAAAAGGTCCCCATCCTCGTCCGTTTGAACATTCTCTTTCCTGCCAAACAATTCTTCACGTCGTCCTCTGTTTGAAGCACTTCAACCTGCAAAGAAGATAGGCACGTGAAGAATAGGGGGGTGTTGGGGGCACGACGCCCCCCAAAGGTTGGAAAAACCAATTGCAGTTGGAAAACTGAAAAAGTTCACTTGGAATTTTTTCTAACTATTATGACCAAATATGTGAATTTTATAGCCTAGGATTTTGGGATTTTAAATGTAAGAATCTTAGATTTTATTAAAATTCAAACTCTGGAGCAGGCATATGTTCTAATCGTTTTTAATTGTGGCGCCCTGTCTCCACTAGGTCTCAAATTGCACCATTGTATCGTTTGTTTCCTTTTTGACACGGGTTAAGTTGAATTAAATTATTTCGAACAGGCAAGGTGAATTTCTGGGTAAAAAGTTTAAATTTTGCCATCAGTATTAATTGAGCCTGAAGTTTTCAAAAATCTTTCCAGAACAATTGAAAGTGGAAATTTTTAAGAAACATCGAGTAGCCAATTCAATTGAAAACATTAAAGATCTTTCATTGCTAGAAATTCTCAACGCTTCTTAACCGGTGTATGCTAAGCTCCCTCTGCACTTTGTAGACCTCCTTGAATCTTATCATGAATTACTATGATACAGCTAATGAGAAGCCACAAAACATTGATCAAATAAGAATGTTTTATCTTACGAATCGGGCATATGCACTTGCCGTCAGATCACCTTTTTCAGCTCCAAGAAACAAAGGACATTGAGCCTTTAAAAATTGTAAAAATTTTTCTTTGATCAAGAACAAAAGATGAAATGGTCAATTCTTTGATGCTTCTATATTGTTAAAAATATATTTTATATGAAACCGATCTGCAGAATTGCTGTTAATTGTCTTGAAAGAATATTACTTTTTATAATGGCTTTGAAAAAAGCAAACATTACACAACATATAAACTAAAAGCTTTTCAGAGCATAAAACGTCAGAATAAAGGTCCGAAAGAACACGATGAAAAATATATACCCAGTTGTGGATCGAAATAGGCCAATCAGAAAAACGCAAGCACAAGACCGGTATAGTTGACCAATCAGTGCCGCGTGCCTAAAGAAAAATTACCACTGGAGTCAAAGAGAGAAAACGAACTCCCTCTGTCTACACAATGGCGGCTTTTTCGTTTGTATGTAGATCGATTCCAAAACTGCTAGTGAAATGTTTGCTTTTTTCAAAGCCATTTTCAAGTTATGTACTGCCAAAAAACTGTTCACATTACATTTTTATCATTAAACATATTCAAGATCTAGTCTGGTATGGCTTTGATGTTGCTTTATATCTTACAAAAAGATTAAATGTTCATGTTACGTTAATCAAAATTTAGATATTTCCTTTATCTTTTTTAATGTTTTTTATGCTTAAGACCAATTATTACAAGTGAAATGTTGGTAACTATACAGAACCTAAAAATCTAGAATAAGGCTATTTCCAAATCAAATTAGATTAACAGGTCGAAAGAAAAAATTCATCAGGTAAAGTTGGAATTTTCAACCTTCCACGACCCCCCAAAATTAGCCATTTGTTTACGTCCCTGAAAGAAGAGCATCACATCTTTGTCTATTTTAGCTTCTATTAACTTCTTTCAGCATTGCTACACACCATCCTCCATTCAATCTACTTCAATCTGAAAGACAAAGTTCCCCGTTTTCATCCATTTCTTCTCATACCGAACAACATTACTTCACAACACTATCCTCCGTTACTTCAATATTCAAAACAAAGGTGCACATATCTGTCCTTTTGAATATCTCCTCCTTACCTAACCCTAGACATCTTTATTTGAATCATTCCAACCCGCAAGACAGTGCATCACATCTCCATCCAGGTTGTCGTTAAAGTAGAACTGACATGAAAATGAAAAAACTTAATAAAATCCACTTATTACATACTACTATAGAATTGGCAGTGCTAGATCGAATGGTGTTTTTATTTTCTGCATTTCTTTTCGTTAACATAATTTTTTCAAGCTCCAAAGTACAGGTTTTGTCAGTTTTTGTTCGAATAAAGAAACGCAGCCAAAGAGGAAATTTCAGGAATTTGTGACGTATTCTGGTGTGTTCGTGCATCGGCAAGGTTAGTTTACTGCGAACTTTTGAAGGATGGCAGAGATCGGGCCAGGGCTTAATCTAGCATGCCTACAGGCACGGATGTGCCTCGTCAACCAAAATGCGTGTTTGTTCGTTTGAATGACGTCTCTCGACTTTTAATGCAACTCGAACACTGTTTCGTGGTTATGATCGCTGATATATTCCATCCTGTTGCAGAAATGGCCAAAAATCAACCAAAACATCGGAAGACAAATTTCAAATATACAAACTGACATTCAAAAACAAAGATTCAGTTGTACAGTGTGCATAGTTGTAAGGTTATGCGGCGATACCCAACAGTAGCAAGCCTAAAAATAGCTTTTTGTGATGTTTTAACGTTGGAGTAGCATCTTGTTCTATTTAGCATGTCAAATTACGCCAGGAAACTAGTATTTTTACTCAGTTTTGCAAGATCTTTTCGATAAAATCATCAGATTTGAAAAATTTGAAAGTTAAAATTTTGCTGACCGTGCATTGTTCATGCTTCCTGAAACATTACTTAGGCTGCCGGAGGGCACCCAAGATTTAAAAAGATCGGTTGCTTTTACTTTCATGAGTTAAACTTTAAAAATTTCGGTTAGGCAGTTTAATAGATGGTTCTACAAAATTCCCTGTCTATTATGTAGGGTTATAAACGAAATTACGGACTTCTCGTCACATTTAGCTTTGCCGTGCTCGTCCAAAAAGCCTTATAGTGCCTGTGACATGATTTTCGTACTTTTGGGTTTATAAATCTATTCTTATGTAAAAAGACCTGTTATTTTCATTTCTTTCTGAGGTTAGTTTTTACTTTTCGTGAGAAATGAAGAAGTTATTGGCAATCTTCTACGCCAAAATTCGCCATCTTGGTTTTCAGAATGAGTAGACAGTGACGTCACAGGAGGGACCCAATCGCCTCCTCCTTCGAGTTTTTGTATCGTAGTCAATGAGGGAAATCTAACAGGTCCAAGATGAGCGATATTTCCAGAGAAAGTAGTGGCAGAGAGGATGAGATTTTTGAAGGTAGCGCTAACATTGTTACAATAACGAGTTCCTCCCATGACGTCACAAGAGAACGGCGAATGATGATAAAGCGACTTGGCTAGGCCGCACTATTTTGCCTAATTTCAATATCAAAACGCTTTTATTTCAAAAAAAGTTCAGATCTACTATAAGAGCAGTGCAACGCTTCAATTGAGAGAATAAAAAAAATCATGTCACAGGCACTTTAAATTAATCCCTGGATCGGGCATAGCAAAAAACAACCTAAATACGACAAATATTGTTGTGCTGTGCTATACTGGCTGTTTTGATAACAGTCACATTCCCGGAAATCAATCGCCGAAATTTCCGAAAGATGGAAAAAATAAATTTGATTGTGTGTACGTGACCCAAAACACACGTTACGTACAAGAACTATAACAACCCTTTTTTTAACAACCCTACCAAGTTTCAAAACGACTTTGTCTTACGGAATTGAATCAAAGGGAAACAGACATTCGACATCGCTTTTGTAGAGCTTCTGTATGGAGCTCGAACGAGGGGCGATTCAGATACCGTATTTCATCTAATGAGCGCCGCCCTCTGATAAACGCCGCCCTCTATTGAACGCCGCACCTTCGGTCAACCATTTGGAAAAAACGCCGCCCTCTGATAAACGCCGCCCTCTGATAAACGCCGCCCTCTGATAAACGCCGCCCTCTATTTAACGCCGCTTCATTAGAAAACATACCGTTATTCGAAAGCTATGAAAGTTTCTTAGGACTCTGACGGAGGCAGAGGTATCGATATTCATTGACATTTCCATAACGTGAAGACATCTTTTGTGAACTTTCAAAAATTATTCACACAATCTTTAATACGTGTTTTTGGAGAAGAAAACATTGTTTAAAGTCTGTTTTTATTATTTTTCATCGCATTTTTCATTTAAAAACTTATCATTTTGCATTGAACGCCACCCTCTGATAAACGCCGCCCTATATTGAGCGCCGCATCCAAGTTTTGAAGTTTGCAATAAACGCCGCGGCGTTCTTTATAGGAAATACGGTATTCTCACAAAACCAGAAAAAAACAAGGAAAAACTAAATATATTTTATGCACGTTAATTTGAGCAACTCTACAAAGTTTCAATCGGTTCGGAACATTTTTAAAATGTATTTAGGGGGAGTTTAGGGGTTTTCTATATGCTAGTGCCTACAGACAGGGGTTTTCTCGAAGCTTGTTGTTGTACAAAGAAAGGGAATTCGATTATTGCAGTTTTACGTTTTAAGTCAGTATACACTCGAAAAAGGGTGGTTTTTGTGTTGTTTTGAGTCGATTTACTTTTCTTGCTTTCGCTCTATTGTTGAAGATCAGTTCACATCAGGTTGTGATGTTTCGTATCGGATGTCAATTTATTTAGGCCATGTTAAGAAAAGTATAAATAAGTCAACAGAAAATCGATCCATGTTTCTCCCTTGAAAAACTTTTTGTTATCTTTATCTGAATTAAAATCCGAATGATTAGCGAAAGGTTCGCTTCACCACCATATGTTCACCCATCATCAAAGGAAAGTGGTAATGGATCATTCTCATCGGGTTGTAACATCATTTCAACGTTCCCGTCTTCAAAACCTGTTCTCTCGCTTCCGATACCACTTCATCATCGTTAGATGAAACCCTTGAATCTGGAATATCCTTTCCGACCTTTGGTTGCTGGACATTTCTAGGCTCTGTTGGGGTTTTGTAACCATCAACCATAGAATAACACACCGGAATGCGTCACTCTCCCCAGACTCTTTCGAAAAATCTCCAATGACTCAACCCCCCAAAAACAAACGTATGGCCCTTATTTTGAACAAATATTTGCAGATATAGAATCAGTGATGTTTATTGATTTTTCATGTCAGTAGCCGCCCTAATTTGCTCAACTCTGTTTATGCAAAACATGGCTTTACATACTCGCTTGTTTTAACGTTTAGATGTGTTAAACTTAAGATGTTTTGAAGTCATTGAAATTAGCAACATATATCATTTGCATCATGTTCCCCCAGTTCTCGGCAGAATCGATTCTTTATTTTGTCTAAATTTGATGAGAAACTGTTGGGGGTGGGGTACCCTGGGTATCAGACTCACTATATGTAAAATGAAATAGAGAGTCTGGTCTAGTGCGCCCCATTCTCGTTCTGGTGAACTTACTTGAAAGAACTGTAGTCTATTTAACAGACTAGGCCTGTGAAACAAGACTGTCGGATAAATAACAAAGAGACTCAGTAGTCAGAGGAGTTTTGAGAAATCTTAAAGCAAATCTATTCGATATAGTTCTGTAAAGTCGACATTATTAATACAGTGGTAATAGACTTTTCTGCCTCAAGATTCCAATCAAATCAGGTTTAAAACGCCATTTGGGAGCAAATAAACATGTGCGAAGCATGAAATTAAAGTTAGCACAATGCAGTTATTAAATGTTAATTATTGTTAAATTTCGTATACAACTTAAAATAAGTCTTTTGTAATTTTCCTCATAAATTCTATGTACTTTCAAAGTCTACTTCCTCAGTGTGAAGGCAGCGCGCTTGGACACCGCGGCGCTCTCGACATTTCACTCGACAGCGCTCGACAAATGTCGAGCGATGTATTGCTCTTTCAAAAAGGGGTGGCCAAACGCTCTCGACTTTCACTTGACTTTTGACTCGACTCTTCACAAACGAGGCTATTGCCTCAATCGCGCGATTCTCCTTGAAAAAGCCCGCGACTTCTGTTCTGTCTGATTCTGATAAACATGAAGCTAAGTAAAAGAAAACGTAAAGCTATCGCTGCTCTAATTGTGATTATTCTCGAAGACGAGGAAAAGACAAAAAGGGGGCTATCTGCTAGCATCATTAATATTTTATTGGCTTTATCGTCATCAAGGCCCTCGAATTCCCTTCGTCGTTGCTTGAAGATCTAGCATTGATCTGTCCTTCTTTGTAGATATCTGAACGTTCATCGTAAGTGAGGTCGAATTGACTGAAACTTTCCATCTTCAAATTATTCGAAACAAAAAAACAGAAATCTGAAGATATCACGTAACAAAATAAACACAACTTTGGCGGGCAAAATTCAGATATTGCATATTGCGCATGCGTTGATTCGCAAAAGTCGAGCAGAAGGTCGAGAGCCTGGCAAAACGCACTCGACAACCTTCGACAACACCTGAAACAATAGAAATGTCGAGCGTTACCACTCGACAATTTTGAACTTGTTCAAATTTGTTTCGACAACGCTCGACAAGGCTCAACAACACTCGACAAGGTGGCCAAACGCTCTCAACATTTGATTCGACAAAATGTCGAGCGTTGTCGAGTGAAATGTCGAGAGCGTTTGGCCGGGTGTTTAGAATCAGGGGCGAAAATACCGGGGGGGTGTGGGGGGGGGGGTGTGACACCCCCCCAATCCAAAAAATAGTCGATTTCGCAGGGCAATCGAAGATTTCGCAGGGCGCCAAGAAGAGCTTTATTGCCACGCAGAAATGCCACCTCTGAAGTTCGTAAAGGGCCGTTTAGGAATTTTTAAATGGAAATATCGTATTTTTTATGAACCTCCCTTCCTGACATTGTATTTTAGAGAACGGAACAGGTATGTAAATAAAAGCTCCGTTATTTGCAAGGCGAAAGCATTTCTTACCGAAAGTCATAGCCAATGGATGCAATGATGGATGCATATGTTTATGAGGGCAAAATTGAGTCCATGCAAATTAATTTAAGTTGTAAATTATTTTCATGACAGGTACGGCGTCACTGGGGGGAATAGGGGGCCGAAGGCCCTCACTTTGATCAAGATAAGAATTTTTTATCATTTTTTCTATTACTTTTTAACAGTGCATGAACTAAAAACATAATAAATTGTTAAGATTCTTGTTAAGAACCGAATTTGTTTCATCTAATTGCTAACTTT